CAGTAGAAGCTCCACACCCTACCTCCTGATTCTTCTTCCAAAGGAAAAAAAATCAACTCCCTTTATAAAATGTAAAAAAACTCTCTGAATCTCACCTCTATACAGTTGTGTGCGAGAGAGGTTTTTCCTAGCCTTACTGTTCAAAGACTATTTGGAATTCTGTATAAAATACATTTTGAAGTTTTAATCTGATTGCCAAATGATACATAAATGCTGTAACTAATGGCATTTTCAACAGAGAGCTTCCAGTGGTACAAGAATTTACCTGATGTGTAGCTACTTTGTAGAGGACAGAATATTGCTTTTGGACACAGTCCCTTACGCAGCCGACAGGGTTTTGAATTAAAAAAGATAAAACCTAAAAACACATTTATTCAACAATAATTATGCACCATTTCACTCACACAGAACTCCACTGCATGAACCACTTCTGGTAATTCCTTTCCCTAGTTTCTAATGGTATGTTTTCAATAGCTCAAAAATGATTGTCACTTGGAGGAACACATGCAAAAACTCTTCCTAGCTTGTCTTCATTTTAACAGACCTACACAACCCTCAGACTTGGACTGACATGAATACTGGAAAAAATAGGGACCAACAATTTTATTTGAGCTACCTCAGCAAATGCTTTCCTCTTAAAGGAAGAACAGGATGGTCTAAGCTCCAGATTTTAGAAATAACATTACAAGTTCACTGTGATTTTAAACTATCATCTGTGAAAAGAGGATTTTGAAGGAGCATAGGAGAGAGGCAGGGGTGGAGAAAAGTGTGCTAGTCAAGTATGAAAATAGATACTAGAAAGAAATAGATCATAGATAGATAATAGTTAAAAGGCTGCTTAATAAACAGTGAACTGAATGAATGTACACTATTAATCAAGAATACAAAATTGTGAGTACTGAACAAACTTAATTTGCCTCATGTAATTCTTATTTCATTCTCTTTTCTTATCCTTCTGTTCAGGGCTGAAGAAAATACCGTACAATTCAGAAAGCTGTAAGACCAGGCTTTGTATTACTGCTGCGTGGTTAGTGGCAGATTTGGTTTAAAAGATTATAGATCTCCCAAGCCTGTATTTGAGGCTAAGATCTCCTCACTCACACTAATTCAGTGTAACTTTTCTTTAATCAGATCTCTGAAATGTTGTGGCTTCAAGATAACAGGAAACAACACGTAAACCAAAAGCATTAAGCTCTTGAACTGTAGACAAAATAGAAAAATAGTAAAATAAAATAACGAATCAAGAAAAATGGCTGAGAAAGCAGAACAGCTCTAAAGCCAGATTCTGATATTACTACATACCCACTAAGACCTTTTGTGAAAACTAAGTGTGTATATATATATAAATCAAGATTTCAGGAGAAACAGACTGTAGTCTTCTAAACAGAGAGGAAGCCAGATGCCAGGACTTGATAGATCTAGTTTTGTGAAAAATTGCCAGAGGTTGCTTCATGACACAGTTAGGTAAAGCTTTGCAATACAATTTCAGTAGAGTATAAATGAAGTTGCTTTCCCTGCATCAAATCCCTTGGTTGAGGTATTTACTCATCCTCACTCAGAGGCAGAGTGCCATCTACTGAAGCATCCCCTTTACATATCTGTCTGGAGCCTGTCCCAGTCCTGTATTGACAAAATTTACCCAAGGGTGCTGTAAAACTGAAGAGGAAGCTGATTTAGGTGTGATTGTCTATTGTACAGTAACAGCTGCATGCAAAGGTATAGGTCAGCACCCTGACTTGTGACAGTTAGTGCTCCAGTTTTGTGAAGACTCACTCTTGGCTTCTTAATAAATCTTTGGAATTGAGGTTACATTATCAGTTTGTAACACTTAAGAGCTTCAGTGGGTGCTCAGATTTCACTGCTGTTAACCATGGACTTTCCTCGTGATTTCTCCTCTCCATGTTAGTGCTCTGAAGATGTGCGAGTATTCAGCTGAGTCACTGATAGTGACACGTGATAGCAGCCAGCAGGAGTTTGTCTTGGGACAGTGATGACACAGTATTATTGTGCAGCTCTAACTGAATCTCCTAACTGAATTCAGGTTGCCTTGACCTTCATACTTCACTGTAAATTTTCTGGACTCTTCCTGTATTCAAAGTGATGCCTTGTGTCATACCCAGAGAAGCTATATGCTACAATAAAAAATACATAGCTAGATGAAAAGAAAAGCAGAAAAAAAATTGTAACAGAAAGTAGTTGCATGAAAATGTCAAAAGTAGGTCAAAGGTGCCTGCAGACCTTGATTGTTGAATCAAATTTCATACAAAAAATAAGTATCCAAAATTTGCTGAGGAAAATTACCACTCAAAGACAGAGAAACAACTACATGGAGAAGTATACCAGCTTGCAGGACAGAGGTGAATGGAGATGTGTCATATTTTGTTTAATAAACAGTACTCTAGGAAAACCACTGATATGATGTGTTTCAAGGCACAGGTGCACATCTTGGTCTTCTCATTAACTTGACAATGGACTGCACTGAAAAGTCACACAACCTATAGCTCAAAAGCCAAATTTTTTATAAAACAAGGCACTAAACAAATCTTGAAAAAATAGTATTTTTTGTTGTAAGACAATAATTAGAACAAATTTGCAAAATACTTCATATTATATTATATTTATTCATTTATTCATTTATTCTTCTAGACTTTCAGTATATTTTCTTAAATAGAATGGAGAACTGAAAAGCATAAGTGACCATTCCTTGCAAATAAGCTATATCCCACATACCTCAGAAAACAGAGGGGAGACAATGTCCCAGGTTGGCACAGATCCACAAGGATCATCTGGTCCAACACCTAAAATGCTCATATTAAAATCCACAAAAAGGAAATAACACGAGCATCCCACAGGTCTTTGGGATCATTTAAAATGTGTGCATGACCAAATCCCACAATAATTCTGGAAACCTTGCCAGCCCTAGAAAGCTGACTCCTGCCCTTGAGTGCATTGTCAAGCACTTCCACACTAACAGCCTTATAGCTGAATACAGAAAAAGCTGCAGTACACATGTTGCCCTTCAGCAACATGTTAGTTACTCCTGTGTAACAGAAAAAACGAAGAGGAGGAAAGAGAACCACATGTCTGGGCCAGGCTGCCCAACATTTAACCACAGCCATCAGGGCAACAAAGCTGATGAACAGACTGAAGCACAAGTCTTATGGGGAACAGCTGAGGGAACAGGGGCTGTTTGTTCTGGAGGAGTCTCAGGAGAGATCTTATCGCTCTCTGCAGCTGCCTGAAAGGTGGTTGTGGTGAGTGTTGACCTCTTCTTCCAGGTATCAGTGGTAGGATGAGAGGTAATTGCCTCAAGTTGCACCAGGAAAGGTTCAGGCTGGACATTAGGAAAAAAATTTTCTCATAAAGAGTGGTGATTTGTTGGGACAGGCTGCCCAGGGAAGCTTTGGAGTCACCATCCCTGGAGGCAATCAAGAAACGCATAGATGTGGCACTGAGGGATATGGTTAGTGGGCATGGTGGGGATGGGTTGATGGTTGGACTTGGTGATCTTATGAGTCTTTTTCAACCTTAATAATTCTGTGCTTCTACAACTGAAAATATCTACTGTGTTTATGTTTTGGCACAAAGTCATTTGTTAGTGGCTGCCCCCATAGAAGTTTGTATTTGTAGAACTTAGCTGCCAAAAGTAATCATATTCTGGAACATTAAAACAACACTACAGGTTACATGGAGGTAAGAAGTGTGTTACTTAGCACAGGAAACAGCAAATCAATGTTACAGGGTACGTTAGCTTCCCATGTTCCATTCCTCTTTCCACCCAGTTTTGGCTACTGCCGTCATCGTGCCTGAATTGAAAAATTCTGCAAAAAAACTGACCACGTGCATGTTCTCTTTACTTATTTCATACATGTATTTATTTATATATTCTGCTTCATGCGTATTTTGCCTTTTAAAAAATGTATCAGACCAGTGAGATTTGAATAGTGCAAACTGTTATTTGAGGACGCACTCAGCTGAAGTTGGACTATGTTATCCTAGAGGTCCCTTCCAGTCCCTACGATTCTGTGATTTCTGTGCACCAGCTAACGCTGCTCACTCGCAGCCCTTTACCGGACTTTTCCGCGGCAGAGTAAGCACTCAGCTAATCTCCCAAAAGTTGTGCTGATGCACTGCAACCAAGTGCGATATGCAAACATCTGCTGCAAAAGCTGCTGCAGTAAAGCGCTGCTGCTAGGCGAGCTCCTTCCTGCTGCACGGAGCATCGCCAATGCCTTCCGATTGTGATCCGCAGGCCAAGCCCCGCTTTGCACTCAGCCCCCTTCACACTGCGCCCGTGGAAGGACGCGCTCCCTCCCCGACAGGTAACCACGCTGGGGCCCTCACGGAAGGACAAAAGGCGACGGTGGGAGGAGGCAGAGGCTGTCATCGCGTGACACGACGCTCCCTGGGCCGAGGGAAGGGGCTGGAGGGGACACCAGGGCAGAGCCTCCCCATACCGCCCCAGAGCCTCAGCCTCCCCGGCCGCTCGCCCACCCCGCGACCGCCATCTTGCTTGCGGCCGGCTACCCACAACCAAGATGGCGCCCGGGCGGTCGGCGGTGCCGGCACCGCCCCGCGCCGAGCGGAAGTGACGCGCCCCGCGGCGGCGATCGTCCCTCCGCTCTCTATGGTGGTTGATTCTTTTTTCCCCGTGGGCCCCGCGTCTCTTCCTTCGGCGAGACGGGAAATGGCCGACGAGCAGCCATAAGGGAGCGGGGCCGCCGGGAGTTCCGCCCGCCAGGTGAGGAAGGGGCGGAGGGGAAGGGGCCGCGGCGAGGCTTGGCGGGACGCTGTCTGCGTGCTGGCGGCCGTACTCTGCCGCGGGGGAGGGGAAGGCGACTGAGACTGAGGGGCGGCCTCTTCTCCCCCGCGCGCGCGCGGCCGCCGCTCCGTTCTCCCCTCCCCCCTCCTCCGCCGTGCGGTGCCGTCCCGCCCTTCCCCCGCCGCGTGACCTCCGCGCGCCGCAGCCATTATCCGCCGCGCCGCCCCCGCGCCCCAGGCCCTAAGGCGGCGGCGCCAACCGCCCCGGGGAGGAGGGGAGGGGCCGGGCCGCACCGCAGCCGCCGCTTCCTGCGGGAGTCGGGTCCAGCCGGCGGCGCTCTGCCCCGAGCCTGCACGGCGCCTCGGGAGCTAAGGTAGAGGAGAGGAGGGAGGGCGGCGGCCCGGGGCCGCGACGGGGCCGCCCTAAGCCGGCCTTTCGCGGCGGGACCGCACGCTTTCGGCCGGCTCCGCGGCCTTCTCCGCTTTTCCTGGGGGAGATGAGCCCGAGGGGTCGCCGAGCGGCGTAGGTCACTGGGTGGGCGACCGTTCTGCTGCCTTCGCGGGGGTTAAAGGGTGCTGGAGTGAGGTGATGCTGCCCTGCGTGCTGTTGGTGTTGGGCCTGCGACAGGAACTTCCCCTCGGGCCTGAAAGCTGTTCGGGCCCTTGTGTCTTAATGCTGTGCTGCTGCTGCTCCCTTGCTGGGCCTTCACTGGCCTGCTTAGAAATCTCCCTCCGACCCCTCGCTGCTGGTGTTTGTGCCCCTCCCTAAACGAGGCTGTTACATTCCCAGCCCTATCGCACTGTGGTGTACCACTGCTCCAGGCCTTTATTTATTGTTTGCTTCAGAACCCTTAGTTTTCATAAGGAAATCAGCTCTTTTTGTTTTGCATGTGGTGGTGATCCTGTAAGGCCTTGGTACCACTTGCCACTTCTTTATCACAAAGATCAAAGTTTTGCTCTAACAGTTAAATTTTCCTACAGGAGGGCCCAGGGGCATGCAAAACAAAGGAGTGCTCCACAATACAGTCACTTATGGAGCTATTTAAGATTGAGTAATGGTTGGTTTGTTGTAGATATATAAAAACATCTCTCAGAAAAATTGTTCTCAATTTGGAAAGGGTTGATTTAGACCATGGTGTCCCAGGAAAGTACTGTCCAGCTTTCCTTCTTGTGCTTCGTTTTTGTTGCATTAAACAAAGAGGGGATGAGTAAGAAGGGACAGAGATTCTGGCTTAGAGTATACTTCCAACATGTAGCTTCTAGTGGCGACAGGGGAAGAGTTGCTTCCTCCTACTTATCCCTTCTGGTGTTGAGTGACAGCAGCGCTGAGTGGCTGGAAAGAGTTCTAATGTGTTACATGTATCAAGTACTTGAGGGTGGCTGGGTCTCTCCTGAGCTGACGGTGGCTGGAGTAAAGCTTCTGAGAGGCTGGCTCCAGCAGTCCACAGGTGAAGGCTATGTCTGCCTTCCTTGGGAACGTGGCCGGGCATGCATACAGTGGGGAACATCCTGGTGCGGTGGGGCTGCAGAAAACTTAAGGCAGTTTGGGTCAGCAGCAGGGAGCTGTTGTTTGGTGACGGGTTACGCTTATTGAGGTAGATTTGACTCAGGCTGGTTGTGAAGGAGCAGTTGTGCTTTATGAGCTTGTGGAATGCCAGAGAGCGTTTGGGATTTAAGTGTAGTGGAAGTAAGGGAAACCGCTGAAGGATGTGAGACACTATTCAGTCTGTTAGGAGAGTTTTTCCTAAACATATTCGGAAGAGGTGTCTTGTTTTCTTGGCCATTGTGCTGGCATTGGCTCTCACCCAGCTGAGTGGTAAGCTGGATCTGGAAGGTGATGTGGCTCTAAAGTCAGCTTTGTCTTTCTCCTGATGTTTTTTATTCTGAATCAGTTCAGCTCACTGCTTACCTCTGCATATCAGTCCTTGGAGTGAGGAGGGGGAGGATGGCCCTTTGTGTCAGCAGACTATTGTAAAGAAATTGTAGAAACCACTTTTGAAGGGAGCATGAAAACATCTGATTAAGCAAACAAACAAAATAAAAAAGCAAGCCAAACAAAATAGCAGCAATTCTCGTTTCGTTTTTTGTTTTGACAAAATTCATAGAAATAATCATTTTGATGTTTTTAGTTAGAAGAGAAATGTGGTTATGTTTGCCTCTAGTTTTACATAACAGAACAGCTATCAATCATACGATTATTCTACAGAGCTGCTCTTGCTTCTGTTTGGAGATTGGTTTTTAAATAATTTTACGTATACTTTCTGTAGTCTTGTACTAAAAATGGATAAATTAGGAATTATATTTTTACACAAATGTTTATTTGTTTGTTTCAGCTGAATTTTCATGCTGTAATTTTTTTATGTGAGTTTGTTCAGTTTTTGTAATCATTCAAGTATTATGAAGATGATAGGGAAGGTAGGAAATGGTTGAGGATAGAAATGGTAGGGAAAAAAAATGAAATAGGAAGAAAATATGTTCCCCAGCTCTTATTTGTACAGCCTGAGGTAGTTTGGTTAAATTTGTTATTGTATTTCAGTAGTATTTGTAGAATTCTGGGCAGTGATTATCCAGGAGGTTTACAGTTGCTAATGAATTGTGTTCTATTCTTATTTGTGATGTGCTGCTGTTAAACTTGGGGACATTTAAAACAAGAGGAGGTAGAGAATGGATAGAATGCGTGGTTATTTTATGGCAGATACACAAGTACTGAATAGTACCTTACATTGCTGTCCTAAATAGACTGACTTCTCTTTAATTTAACATATGTATAATGAAAGACTATTACGAATCCTGTAGCATTTCTTGAGGTCGGGCTTATCCCCTGATTCTTGTTGTATAATCCTTTTTCTTTTGAAGCTTGGATCTCTGAATGAAATTGCATTTTTGACAACAGCTTGTGAATTTCTTTAACAAGATTTTTTTAATTAAATCTTATTGATAGCTTTCAAGTAATGCGTAAACAAGGGTAATAATAGCTATTAAATAAGTATGAGATAGCTAAAATAATAGTGAGCTGAGAGAGAGAGCAGTGTTTTGCTAGTATAAATTTGGATAACTAATCTAAAATACCTATTTAAGCTTCCATATGGTGTAGAATTTCTGAATTAGTGTGTTTAGCAGATACGTAGTGTCTGCAGTATCTGTCAGAAAGCTTTAACATCAGTGTAGTGAGAAAGGCTCATAAAAATATTCAAAAGGAATCGGAAACAGGTTTTTATCTTTAAGAATTTGGCATGTTTGAAAGAAAAATACAGTGGCATCTACTTCCTCATCATAGTGTTGCTGGTTGTAGAGCATATCTTGTTTTTACTTGGTGGCTGAGGCTGATGTAAGGCACCCGTACATACTGCTGTTACATTAAGAAACTTGCTGACTGTTTGATCATTAATGTGACTCAGTATTCGTTTCTTGAAAGATATGCAGCTAGTTGTGTCAAGGTTTGGTAGTATGCTTTCTTCAACAGCACTCTGCTTGCAGGTACTGTTAAAAAGCTTAAGATGTGAGTTTGTTGCTGCCTTTTGAAGCTAGTTTCAGGGAAGCCTTAGAATTGCACTGCTGCCAAAGGAAGCGATCCTGAGTGGTGGCTATCGCAGCTTACCCGTCATGGTCCAAATGCAGGGTTGTGTCATGAGCCATACTGAAAAATCACTTGTATTGTAACAAATCACGTGATCCATATGTTTTCTGGTCTGGTTCACAGTGTGGCTGCTCAAATACTTGTGCTGCATAAGGGAGAAAACCATCAGGAATGTGAATTACTAGACAGCTGGAAGGATGGTACTGTTTCTTTACACGAGTAGTGCTAGGTTGTTCTGACTTAATGTTGTGGAGCTACAGAGGCTTCCTTTGTAATAGCCAGCTTTCTTCTGACCACGTGATGAAATGCTTGAGAGTTTAGCATCAATTTTCCCACATTTAGTGCAGAAAGCAAGGGTAAAAGAAGCTTGAGTTACCAGAACCATATGCAGATAACAGCATTGGTGTTTTAGATATAGACTGTGTTTCTTGCAGTTGTGGTTCCTTCTTTAAATGCTCAGCAGTAGGCATCTTGCATCACATTTTTCATGCACAGCTTTGCAACCTCTAGGTCTCTTGAGACTAGTCAAGAGATAAGCTTCATGCAGCCAAGTAAGTCTGTAGCTGGTCTTTTGATTTGTGGATTAATGTTACTGCTTAGAAATGTGATGTGTACAGCATCTCTTTTTCGTTGTGTTGCCTGACATGATGTTGTGACTTCAGATTGTGACAGTGGGGACAAGAGAGTCCCCAGGAAGAGACTGCTGGTGATGTAACTCTGTATGTACCACTGTTTTTCAAATTCTCTGTAATAGAGATCAATCAGCTATTTTAATTCTTGCACACTGTAAAAATATATACATAGGCAAACCTTTATTTAAAAAAGTCTAAACATTTCTGCTCCCGTGTGTGAAAGTTCTTTGGGAAAAGATTTTTTGCATGTCAAGTGTTTGCCTGTAGCAGTTAAATGGAAGCAAAACTAAAAGTAGTTGAGATTTTCTGTTCAGTATTTAAGGTTTTCTATTTAACATTCTTTTGTTTTCAAGTCGTTGGCAAAAAGAGTAGCCATGGTACATCCTGTGGGTGATGCGAAAACTTGTCTAAGTTAGGATTCTGATTTCAGTTAGCAGCAGCCAAATGTTTTTAAAAGTTGGATGTGGAGAAAACATCGAAATGTAGTAAATATTGATTTTAAAATCTAGCACTGAACTTCTACCACTTAGCTGAAGTTTGTATTAATTTTTCTGTGTAAGAATGCTTTAATTAACCTTTGCTAGCTAATGCCATCTCACCTTTTGTCTAGACAAGATCTGAAATGGTCCGATACACTACTGTGCTCCTTCAGAGACTCATGCTTGCTGATGATGAGAAGTAAAAACTTTAACTTGTTAAAGCATATATTTTGTAAAAATTGGAAATATCTTGGTCACTACTAGTGAATGGTAAGTGGAATTTTGATAGCAGGGTTTATCAAAACAAGTACTACTTTTTTTTGTGTTCAGGTGTTCTCAATTTTTCCTTCATCTACAAGTGTGATTAGTTAACATGTTTGGCTTTAATAAACGTGTTACTGAAATGCAGAATTTCAAGGAGATCCAGCCTGTCTGTATCAAACTGGGACAAAATTCTGAGTCACTTTCATGGCATTTGAAAATTTTCTTAATGTCAAGTCAGATTACAAGTGTGTATTCGTGAATATATATTTGTATATTCTTAAGGCTTTGCAGTAATTAAGGTTGAGGCCAGTGAAAAACTCTTACTTTGGAGAGTGAGTTTGTTATTTCAGTTATATTTTATTTCTGTTTACCTGTAAAAGCTTCAGTTTTTTTGAGAAAAAAATGCTGGTTATTTAAAGTCATGCAAATGTTTCCTATTTAAATAGGAAACTGTAACAGAGTAGTTCTTGTATAAATGTTGCAGAGAAATCTAAAGATCTGCTGTTTTACTGAGCTCATATCCCATATCTTTTTTGGAAAAAAAAAAAAAAAGATCATTCCAGTTAAATCCAAAGCTGTGTATTAGAGTTCAGACTCTTACATGAATTTGCCACCTCATCCTCTTGACTGCATGCTGTCGTCTCGATCTGGCATTTGTTTGGGTCTTTGTTAAGTCAGTTAACTTAACCATACGAAAGTGAACACTGAGCGTCTGTCAGAAACCTTTTAATTGAAGGACCTGAAGGGTTTAAGGGCTGAAGGTTATACAGCCCTGGAAGCAGGACTGAAGGACTGATAATGTATGGAAAGGAAGGAGCATTTGCTCTTGGCAGCAGCTAAAGCATAAGCTGCTCCAAATCTCAATGTGTGGTTTCAGTAGGCTAGGACTAAATATGCTGTTTATTGTGTTGCCTTTTTGTGATAAACAGTTTAATCTTTGAACCCATTTAAGCAGGAGTTAATGGTCCTTTCATGAAAGTACTTGTCTCTCATGGTCATTTTTTTTCTATTCTGTAGGGATTTGTGTTGCCGAAAGCATAAACGGAGAATTATAAAATAACTGATTGATTGACACAGACCTGTGGCTTGAGGTAAGGTGAATTTAATTCTATTTTCAAGTGCTCTGATGGAACCCAACCATTTCACAAAAATCAATGTTGCTTTTTTTTTTTTTTCCTTAAAGTTTGTTAGTGGTAAACTGAATTATATAAATCTTTCTGAGTTTAGTATGTTCCTTAAAAGTCAACTGTTGTCTCATATGTAATTGTCAACTGTTGTACCATATATTCACTTGTTACGCATAAGAACGCAAATGTACAAACGCTGTTGTTCTATAGAGGGAAAATCCAATATTCTTTTTCCTTTAAAACTGAAATTAGGTTGTGTAGACTTCTTGTATATCTAAAGTTTGGTCTGAAATTTCCTTTTAATAGAAAAACATTTTTTCTCTTGCTCTAGGAAAATTGGTATACTTCATGTATTGTAGCTGTTTAAAAACTTGTCTATGAACTGGATAACATAAGAGATTGTAATCCATCTTCTGGGCATTTAATTGAGCACAAAGAATTAAAACCAATCTTCTGAGTTTATGTTCATTTACTTTCCTTTAAATGGAAGGAGCCTTTTACAGGCAGCTTATAATGTATTCTCTGAGTTAAATAGTTTTAGTCAATTGGAAAGCTAGTTTAGGCTAAAACTGTATTATATATTATTTGAAAATATATATAATATCTATAATGCAATATGTATTTTCCCTAGGTTAGTTTCAGATGAGATTAGTCTCTTTGGGGCCACACAGACTCAATGCAACTGTGATGGGGGAAAGTTAAATGGGGCAAGAGTGACAGTGCTAGGGAAAGGTTGGTCTGTTTTTTTTGTTTGAATTTGCTTACATGTGTGTAAAATCTCTGTGATTTTGTTAACTTTGAGCTATAATTCAATTTGTCTTCAGTATTTCTTCTCAGATAATATGTCAACTATATGCATAAAGTTCAGTGTAACAAAAAGTGCTTGTTGTGTTGAGCTTGTATTTTCATTATGATAATTTGGAGATTTTATGCTTGTTTGCAATACAAAAGCTGAAAGTTGATTCCTTTTTTCCTCTATTTGTTTTAGTGGTTATTAATAATTGTAGATAGCGTATTCAGGGCTGCAAATGTGAATATGACTGTCAGCAGTTTATATTCGGTTGTTCTCCTGTCACCCATTATTTTCTAAATGGGGCAATCTCAAAAGGAAAAGTTAATGAGGCAAAATTGTTATTATTAAATGAAATTGGACAGTTTAAACATTGCTTTTTAAGAATATTTTAGACTTCCACTGAAACTTTGTGAAATCATAGGTTACAGAATCGCTGAATATCCTGAGTTGGAAGAGACCCTTAAGGATCACTGGGTCCAACTCCTGGCTCCACACAGGACCACCCAAAAATTAGAGCATATGTTTGTGTGTGTTGTGTAGGCTTCTTGAACTCCAGCAAGGTCATTGCCATGACCATTTCTCTGGGGAGGCTGTTCCAGTGTCTGACCACCCTTACCATGAAGAACCTTTTCCTGATATTCAATTCAAGCCTCCTATGTCGCAGCTTCATGCTGTTCCCTTCGGTTCTGTTGCTGGTCACCAGAGAGAGATCAGTACCTGTTCCTGTGCTTATCCTCTTGAGGAAGCCATGGGCTGTCATGAGATCTCCCCTCTTGTCTCCTTTACTCTGGGCTGAGTAAACCAAGGGTCTTCAGCTACTCCTCACACCTCTTCCCGTCTGGACCCTTTGCCACCTTTGCAGCGCTCATCTGGGTGCTGTCTAATAGTTTTATGTCCTTTTTGTACCGTAGTGCCCAAAACTGCACACGGTACTTGAGGTGAGACTACACCAGTGCAGTGTAGAGTAGCTAGAAATGCAATGCTTGATGGACCTCAGGATATGCTTGGCCTTCCTGGCTGCCTGGGCACATGTTCAACTTGCTGTTGACTAAGACCCCCAGATTTTTTTCATTTTGTCCAGAAAGATACTGTGTGAAACAAAATAGAATTGTCTCAGGATAGAAATGAACAAATGCTGAGTCAAATTCAAGTATAGGCTTGAATTGTCATGTTGCTTTGGGTAAAAAAAAAAAAAAAAAAAAAAGAAAATCTTTCTACAGAGTGATTTCAGCCTAAGTAGTAGAAATTTCAAAGGTTTCATTTGAAGGAGGACTGGGAGTACTTGGCAGTTCTGACCAATATTCTATGGTCATAACTATAAACTATATAAAACGAACAGAATATTTAGATTTAGTTATAGCTTAGTTTTAGTTTAGATCTGGATCACAAATGTATAATGGTCTAGGCTTGCGTTATTTCTTGTCCTAATTTGTAGAAATGTTTTTTTCTGTTGCCTACTTAACTCCTTTTACACAGGATCAGTTTGCAATTAAACCTGAGAAACCTGCTATCTTTTCAGACAAATAGCTTGCACTGTAGATGTGTTAAGTCTTATATTGTTTAAAATGTTGTATGTTGAGATTTAAGTTGCTAATAAATGTATTTTCTTCAAAATTCTTCTGTTTAGGTAGTGCTATACATCTTCCTAATATTCTTGTTTTAAAGTATTACAATCTTATATTATTTACGTGGTCCCTAAATAGTTCCATCCCTCTTTTTCTCCTCCCTTCAACTGTTTTTCCTTCTCAGAAGAAGTTTATCTACTGGGAAAAATGGGTCGATCTAACTCTCGATCACATTCTTCAAGATCAAAGTCCAGATCTCAGTCCAGCTCTAGGTCAAGATCCAGATCACACTCTAGAAAAAAGAGATACAGGTATATTCATGTCATACTACGTGAAAAATTGTTTTTTGTGTATTGAGTTCTGTCTGGAAGTTTTTTTTCACTTGCATGAGGCTGGGATCTTCACTTTATAGACAATAACTAGTTTCTGCTTTGAATAAAACTTCTGTTTGTTTAAAATTTGATTATTCTGCTCTTTTCCTGTATCTTTCCTGTACCTCGGTATAGTTTCAGAATGCTAATGGTTCTTCCTGATGTGTTCTTGTTTTGATTCTTGCACCCTCTTTCACATGAGGTTTTCATTGTCCTGCCTCTTTCCCTGATAGTCTTTTCTGCCTTTCTCATGTAGCTTTTCAGGTCTGGAGTAACTTAAGGCTTCAGCAGATAAACTTTACCTTGACTTCTCAGTTGTCTCCAGTCTTTTCCTTCACTTTCTTACCATTGGACATAGCCACTTCTTTAATAAGAGGTGGCAGAACTCAGTGTTTACTGTCGTATCAGCTGCTGCTGTGTATAGGCTGGTATATTCAGTTAAATTGGAGGTGATCTAATGTCATGTTCCAGGCTGTGAACAGTGATCGATGGAGAACTGAGTGCCATGCTCCAGAGTGGTGGTGGTCTCTTAAAACAAACAATAACAGCAGAGCAAGTCATTGAGGCTGGTAACATCTTAACGATGTGATGCTGAAGTCTAAGTTTCACAATTCCTTGGAAGAACAATGTTTATTAAAATTCCTTACGAGATAGAGATCATATACTGCAAAATTTACTTGAAGGCTGTTATTCTGCCTTTACCATTCTGACTGTATTAGAGAGATCTGGCATTAAGTCTTGAGGCACTTCTTTTTCTCTCTCCAGTTGTCGAATGTTAACGTTTGTTTTTTAATTCTAGTTCTAGGTCTCGATCAAGGACATACTCACGGTCTCGCAGCAGGGATCGTGTTTATTCTAGAGATTATCGCAGAGATTACAGAAATAATAGAGGAATGAGACGTCCCTATGGTTACAGAGGAAGAGGTAGAGGGTATTACCAAGGAGGAGGTGGTAGATACCATCGTGGAGGTTATAGGCCTGTCTGGAACCGAAGACACTCCCGAAGCCCTAGGCGTGGCCGTTCCCGTTCCAGAAGTCCAAAGCGAAGGTCTGTGTCTTCACAGAGGTCCCGGAGCAGATCTCGTCGATCTTACAGATCTTCCAGGTCCCCGAGGTCCTCTTCATCTCGTTCTTCATCCCCATACAGCAAATCACCTGTCTCTTCCAAAAGACGTGGGTCTATGGAAAAGCAGGCAAAGAAAACTGAAGGGGCTCCTTTGCAAGATAGCCCTTTGAAAAATAAATCACAAGACGAACAGAAAGATACGTTTGAACATGACCCATCAGAATCTCTTGACGATTTTAATAAATCATCAGCAGCTTCTGGCGACATTTGGCCTGGCCTTTCAGCGTATGATAACAGTCCAAGGTCACCCCACAGTCCTTCTATTGCTACCCCGCCCAGTCAGAGTTCATCTTGCTCTGATGCCCCTTTGCTTAGTACAGCCCACTCAGCAAAGGACACACCTCAACATTCCCATTCCATTCAGCATAGTCCTGAGAGGTCTGGCTCTGGTTCCGTTGGAAATGGTTCTAGCCGTTATAGTCCTTCTCAGAATAGCCCATTGCATCACGTCCCTTCGAGGAGAAGCCCTGCAAAGACAATCCCATCACAGAGTGCTCCCCGTGAGGAGCCTCGAACACGTTCATTTTATCCCGAGACTGGGGAACAGGAAACTGTAAAAGGTGGAAAGTTTCTGAAAAGGTAGGAATTAAATTGTAACATTAACATTGCAACTAAAAAAAAAACCAAACAACCTGTAACAGTATTTATTTATTTTTACAAGATCGCCACTGTGCCTTGGAGAAGGGAATATGAAATACTGATGAATATCTTTAAGAATTTTAGTTTGGTTACAGTTGAGCTTTCTCCTCCTTTAGGATGCTTCAAGTTCTTGTTGGGTGATTAGTGGGGACAGGGACCAGTATCCCTGTAGCACTCCTTCGTGTTTTTCGTTTGTGGTACATTTTCCTGTATTCCATTTACTGTTCAGAAAAGTATTAATTAATATTTTAATGAATGATGGATCAGGCTTGCTTGTTTGACACTGACTTCTGTTCAAGCACTTCAATGTTTTAATGTTTCATGTAATTTGAAATGCAAAGTCTGAAAACGGAGATGTATTACGATTGATTTTGTTAACGTAAACAGCATTCACTGCTAATTGTATGGTGCTATGTGACAACTTTTTCTTGTGTTACTTAAGAAGTGGGGTAGGTCTTAATATTCTTGGGACATAATTCCACTGATGTGAGGAACAATGGAATGCATGCTTTTCCAAATTTGTTCTCAAAATATTTGATATACCTGATACAGCAGCAATTGAAGAAGGAATTTATCTTACATTATTGACGTTAGACCGTTTCTTTCTAATTTACCTTGCACTTTGGTGGATTTATTAGAAAAATGAGTTATAGACAGATATAGGTATAATTTTTAAATGAATTTGCCCTGTCAATGATTTTTAGTATATGAAAATATACTGATAGAAAATGAAAAAAAAAATATCAAAAAGTCAGACTTGCTTGAGCTGAGACTTACTGCTTCTGGTGGATGTGTTTTGGACCTATGTGAAGATAGTGTACAAGCTGTAGCTAAAACCAATTTGTGAATGTAGTTAGGACATTCTGTTAATTCAGATTTGAGTTATCAGTTTTTATTATTTTAATGGGAAAAAAGGACTGGTGTAAGTGCAATGTGAAGCTGTGTGCCAAATTAGAATGAACAAACTAACCACTAGCTCTCTTTACAAACTCTAGTGGAGAATTTCTTCGTGTTCTTCAGAAAGACTTTATTTTCTTCAGATGTTTCTGCTAGTGTGTAGATGACAGTTAGTACAGTATGAACTGTGTGTGAAATTTACTTGAAGTTGAATGGCTCAGTGGAGTATGTTTTTTCTTTTTGGTGTGGGATTGACGCAAAAGAGGAATGCAAGTGAACTGGAATGAATGCAATCCAGAGTTACCAGTCTCTTCTTTGCTATCCACAGGTACACAGATGAAGAGTCTAGAGTATACCTGCTTGATAGGGGTAATACCAGGGAGAAGGAGGCCCAGAAGGAGAGAGGATCAGAAAAAGGGAGGACAGAGGGAGAAAGGGAATGGGAGGATCAGGAAACTTTAGACTTTTTCATTGATAAAGAGACTGGGAAAGAGAAGTTTAATGACTCTGAAGGGGAGGACACTGAGGAGACAGAGGATTACAGACAGTTCAGAAAGTCTGTCCTGGCAGATCAGGGTAAAAATTTTCCTACTGCATCTCACCGGAATGCTGAGGAGGAAGGAACCAAATACAAATCTAAAGTAACAATGAAGGGCAATAGAGAGAGCGATGGATTTAGAGATGAGAAAAGTTATAAGCCTAAAGAGACTGGCTATATAGCGGAAAGGCCTAGTACAACAAAAGATAAGCACAAGGACGAAGACAAGAGTTCTGAGAGACTAACGATGAAGAAAGAAACTCAGTCACCTGAGCAGGTAAAGTCTGAAAAGCTCAAAGAACTCTTTGATTACAGTCCCCCTCTACACAAGAATCTGGATGCGAGAGAAAAATCCACCTTCAGAGAGGAGAGCCCACTTAGGATCAAAATGATAGCCAGTGACTCCCATCGTCCTGAAGTTAAACTCAAAATGGCACCAGTACCTCTTGACGATTCCAATAGGTAAATTATTCCACTTGACAAGTGGTTCTCCACCTGCTTGCACTGTCACTCATCTTTATTTAAACTAGTGGTTTCTTTTTGTGTGTCTTTTCTGTTGTTGATGCATTTTTAGACCTGCTTCCTTGACTAAAGACAGGCTGCTTGCTAGCACACTTGTCCATTCCATCAAGAAGGATCAAGAGTTCAGATCCATCTTTGACCACATTAAGCTGCCACAGGCCAGCAAAAGCACGTCAGAGTCATTTATTCAGCATATAGTGTCCTTGGTTCATCATGTCAAAGGTATGTGTTCAATTTACTCATTCAGCAATAGCATTTAAGTCTTAGCTAACACTGTTTGCTGTCTGTAGTACAGGAAGATTTCAGCCTTCTTAATGTTGATTTAGTTGAACTTTTCCTTTGAGGTATACATGTAATAATTAGAGAAATAATAGTCACCAAAACAAGTGTCAAAAAAGCAAGCACTGTAGAGCATTAGAGTAGTCATACTATGTTTCTTGTTAAATTTTTAAGCCAAACTAGCACATACTTTGTTAAATTTTTTTAGTAAAGCTTAAGCATACTAAATTGCTTAATCTTTTTACTTCAATTGTATTTGAATGTCATTTCACCACTTCATATAGCATTGCATCTCCTTTTGGAGCACTTTAGAACTCATCCAAATGTTTATTGGAAAGCTGGTTTCGATCTCAAACTGATGAAGTGTAAGAAGTGGTTCTCTAAATGATCTTAAAATACACTGCTTCATTTTATTCTCACTTAACAGTATTGTTGGATGTGAGAACCTGGAACTTCTAGAGATTTAAGTAAATCTCCATTAAATTGTTTATATGCTAATTATTTTCCAATTTAACAGTTGTGCCTGTTGCTTACTATAATAAAATTAAAGCACTTCCACACTTTTTGTGGAAAAAAACCTGACAAAGTGGGTGTATTTTATTCAAGTCACATACTGGCAAAGTTCATTCAAGAATACATAATTTCTTAAAATCCAGTGAGGATATCTAGAGTGTTTTTAATTTTTTTTTCTTCTGTAGCACTGACTTAAAATTTACCAGGCTGTTGTCTTATTCTTGCATTTAATATACTATGAAAGAATTTGCTGGTGAACGTTTCTTACCATATCATCATATAAAAGGGGAATGTCAAAATGCTAAATGAGGTGAGAAGTTTGGGTGTGTCTATCTGTGTGCATTGTTTTAAATATACTTTAGCTTTTAAAATAGGAAAGATTTTGGTGCTACAGGTATGGTTTTTCAAGTCTTATTTTGTTTTTGAAGTAACTCTAGGCAGCTAAAGCCAAATGACTGTTTTGAATTGCTTAGAAAAAAAATAGCAATAGTGGTAGTAGGTTATGTTAACATAGCAGACTCAAAATATTATTGGGACACTTGCTTAGAGTGTTAACAGTCATTGCTAGAAAATAATTTTATTGATAAGAGATCAAAGTCTATATCCAATGAAAGCTTGGCTTAAATGGCACGTGTAAACTGAAGGTGAAATATTATTGAAACTGTTATGTATTGATCACAAAATTAAGACTTTCTGTAGACTTGTGTTAAACAGATAACTGGTAAATATGACAGCTTAACAGAGTGTCTGGTCAAGTTTTTAGTATATGTAAAGTTATGACTGTTTCTTGAAAGGAGAACTTCTCTATGCATTTCAAACTTACTGCGGTCTGTGATCAGATTTAGTAACTATTTTGACGATTTGAAGTTATGTTCATTATTGGTGTGATGCGACCAGTCTGAACAGCTCTTGATTAATGTAGAGCTGAAAATGCCCAGTGATGTTTTCTTTTTCATTATAAATAGGTCCTGGAATGTGTTTTGAAATGGCAAAATCCATGTTACAAAAGTAAAATAGCTGTTGAAAGATACAGATGCCAAACAGGCAAAGTTGAACCTTCTGTCTTCCTGGCAAAAATGGCATAAAAACAGAGTTGCTAGCTCAAATTCCTGTGTTTGATGGAATTATGATTGAGGCACTACCCTTGTAGTGGCCGTTTCAAGTTTTAATGGTTGGTTATGAGACAAATACTGGATGCCGGGCGGTAAGTTGATACAGATGTATGTTGACCTGTTAAGCAGATAGCTTGCTTCATATGTAACATTTCATAGCTCATGACTTTTATGTATTTCTATATTACATTTAAACCATTTGTTGAGCTGGTTTGAAACCTTGAGTTTTGCTGTTGCTAATTTAACTGTCTCTGAAAGCAAGAGAAAATCTGTCAGAGAAGTTGTCAGGTTTGCCAAGATGCCAGATGCTTAAATGAATTTATTTACATTTGGATGTGTTAATTGTCTTGAATTGCTACTGTTAAAACTTCAAATCAAGAAATGGTATTATTTTAAGAAATGACTTGTTATTAGGTCATCCTTGTAGTTATTGAAACATACATTTCTTAAATGTTTTCACTGAATTAACACTAACTTAAAGTCGAAATGAATTGTAAAATGTACTTCCTGCAAATATTCACGACTTGAAGTAATCTTATGGTTTTTTTTTTCTTATGGACAAAGTAGAAAGTCACTTAAATTGTTCCTTTATTTCATTAGAGAAAAATGTCACTGAAAATGAACAAATCTAATCCATGTATGATACTTGAATTACATTTAATACAGCCACGGTGTAGCCATAAGTAGATTTGCAGTGATTCTGTGCACTGTATCTTTGTTTGGATTACAGAATGTGTAAGAATAGGAAAAGCCCACTCTTGCTTGTTGTTTTGATATTTTTACTGAAAATATTGTTTTTTGCCTGCTACTTGCCTTTCTGTCAGGAGTATAATACCTGTCAGTTGAATTAAACTAATGAAACAGTGTTTTTCTATTGTAACCAACAGAGCAATACTTCAAGTCAGCTGGAATGACCCTAAATGAGAGGTTCACTGCATATCAAAAAGCAACTGAAGAGCACTGCACTCGGCAAAAGAGCCCAGAAATACATAGGTATATGTTAATTGCTGATGTCTTAGATAATATCTGCTAATATTTCTTGTTCAAGAACTCAAAATATTTATTTCTGTTCTCTATGTGATACTTCGTTGATTTCTGTGCAAATACAAACGAAAAAAACCACAATTTGGAATAGCCAAACCAAAACACCAGCAACAAACCCTGGGGAAAAAAACAAAACAAACAAAACCAAACAAAAACGTTTCTGTTGAAGAAAACTCAGATGAATCAACTCTGGCTTCATCTGTAGCTTTTCTACCTCTGCATCTCATTTGGGTTATATTTACTTTTTTCACATATTCTCTCAAATATTGAGAGAGAAATGTCTTGCATGTACAGGGCTTCTTTTTTATCTTCAGCTTTATTCTTTGGTGTCAGATGTTCCATCTCATATCACTTTAGTTTTTGTATCTATTAATTCATAGCAGTTTTTTCTCTTGAAATCAGAGAGCCTGGAAGGTAAGAATCATAGAAACATAGAATCACAAGGTTGGAAACGACCTATAAGATCATCTAGTCCAACTGTTTCCTCATCATCATTGCCACCACAAGCAAGATGATAGACACGCAGTTGTAATTTCTGATTGTGTGCTTCTGATTACATGATGCAGTGTATATTGTATTTGTGTTGTGTGTGATGTTATCTCAGCTTTCAACTTTGTAAGATCTCTTAACTGAGATCTTACTTTAACTATACAATAAGCTGTCATTGTTGATGGTGTGTTTTTGTGTTTTTTTTTTTTTGAAGGTTGGATATCAAACTGGCTATATATATATATATATATATACTGATCTTCTGGAGTAATTGCTATCTTGAAATCTCTTGGAAATGTGAAAAATCAACTATTTTAGTGTATTTGTCTTTTAGTATACTTCAAAGAACAAAACCAATGTTTATAATTTTTGGCTTGCTTCTTGCTTCTTTTTATATTCAGATGGTGGGACTTCATATGCAAGAGTTTGTTCTGCTGCTAAAGTGCCTTGTTATTCAGACTTCTGTTGATCTGTGTGAGGCCATAAGCAGTTGCATACACGTATGGCTAGACACTGCTTTTATTTTACATTTAGGAGGATTGACATCTCTCCAAGTGCCCTGAGGAAGCATACCCGTTTAGCAGGTGAAGAGAGGGTCTTTAAAGAAGAAAGTCAAAAAGTAGGTTCTAAGTAAACGTTAAGTATCTGTTTCTAAACTTAACGTGATATTTTTTTTCCCCTTTGAATATGAATTTCTAACTTCATTTGAATTTGTGGATCTCAGTCTTTTAGAACAACTTATGTTATGTGGAATATTCGCATTCCAGAACTTTTTTCTGTGAGTCTTACTAAGAAGCCAGTTTGCGTAGCACAATGTGAATATGCTGAATTTCACTGAGGCAAAAAGAAAATTCAAAATGCCTCCTAACTTCCTTTCTTTTGGTTGTTTCTTGGCACATTTTGTGTCCAAGGACAATGAATGGGAGGAGAAAAAAGTGCTGATGTGCACAGTAGCGTGGCTGAATGTATAAAGGTACATGTGCTTTGCTAGCAATAATTAACTGGAAAAAATGGATACCAAGATATCCTACCAGAAAATATGTTATAGTCAGTCTGCATCAGATAGTAGATGTCCTGCTGGCTCAATGAAAACGCTTGTTTAAAATGCAAAATCTTAGCTGTACTCAGATTTAGCCTATAAAGGGCGTTCACCTTAAGCTCAGTTTATGTGCTAAAGAGTTGTTGTAAATTCTGTCTCCTCTTCTTGAAAATTGAGGCACGGTTCACCCCCACAGATTCTCTTCTGGATGTTTTCTTACAAAATCTTAGTCAGAAACATATTTCTGCTTACAGGGAGATAAAAAATTAAGATGTGATTCTGCTGATCTTCGGCATGACATTGACCGCCGTAGAAAAGAGCGAAGTAAAGAGCGAGGAGACTCAAAGGGCTCCAGGGAATCCAGTGGGTCAAGAAAGCAGGAGAAAACTTCAAAAGATTACAAGGATTACAAATCTTATAAAGATGACAGGTAAATGTTTGAAATCTCTAGGTTTTTAGTCTCTAATTAACCTTTTGTAATTGTAAGCTTAATTGCTTTCAATTTTCGATGTTTAATGGAACGTTTAAATTTAAACAAATAAAATTATTTGTTTTACAGCAAATATGTATTATCTGTCTTTTACACGGCTTATGGTGGATGAGGACAAAAACTTTGGAATAGCAAGCTAACACTGAAAAAAAAAATGACAAATTAATCTGTCCTATTATCCAGGCTACATCAGGAGGTTGGACTTCAATGCAGTACATTTCTATAAACAATTTGTGTAAGAACTTTGGTTCGTTATGCTTGATTCCGCACTTTTTCAACTCATAACACCCAGAGTATGAGAATCTTACTGATACTTAGATTTAACATGGGTGAGAAGGGGAATCTTTTTATTTTTTTCTCTCCTAAAGCCAGTGGTCTATTTTCTAAGGAAAAAAAGGTTAGCATATTTCAGTGGATACTTTGTAGCAGTGGTAAGAGTTTCATCAGGTATAACCTTCCTTTGAGTAATGTTGTCTTTTAAGTTGGGTCAAATTAGAACTTTAGAGAATTACCGAAAGTCTTGCTGTGGGATTTATTATCCTGCTTTGTACTGGGTATACAATGAATCCTTATGCTTCCTGTTTCCCATATACTTTCTGACTCTGGTATCCACATTACCTTCCACTGGCAATGCCCACCTTCGTTGGGCAGACCATACTGTATGCTCTCAACAGTATGCAAACTGAATTATGTAAAATTTCTGTAAAGCTTTGCCTTGAGGGTTTTCCTCCCTTTGGCTTCTGTTTTTTTTCTTTCTGCCTCAGTGAAAGGCAGATCTTAAAAATAACAGAACCTCTTAATGGCAACCTAGAAAAATTCTGCAGTTTGCAGACTGCTGTTTTCCAACTCACTAGCAGTAGTGTATGTTTAGTCCATTTAAATGGCTAAGAAGAGGCTGGAAAGTGAAACTATATCTTGCCTTAGCATCTGAAATGCATTACGTGTATGTGTGGTTTTATAACCAGATGGGGGATAGCTTTTTTAAATATAAAGAAACCCCTTTTAGTATAGCATGTTACAGTCTATCTAGTGCTTTTAAAATAGCACACAGTGTATCATTTTATTTTTCAGTAAGCAAAAAAGAGAGCAAGACCGTGCTAGATCTTCTCCATCTTCCTCTCCATCTGCTTCTTCATCCAGTTCTCGAGAAGAAAAGGATTGCAAGAAAGAAAGAGATGAAGAGTTCAAAACTCACCACGAACAGAAAGAATACTCTGGTTTTGCAGGAGTCAGCAGGCCAAGAGGCACCTTTGTAAGTTGCATTTCTCCTGTTCTTCCCCCAGATGATGAGGCCTGCAACAATAGTGTAACAGATTAAATGAATTGTTGCAGTACTTAATGTTAGTGTAGACCTTATTCACAGTTGTGATTTCTTTTATTCTTTTACATGATGTACCACTTCTGCAGTGCTTTTCTTTCGGCCTTATCCAATAGAAATCTTATTTGGTGTGTAAATATTCAACAGTACAGTATTAGAGAGCCTAGTGTTAGGATTGGAAAAATGATTTCTGTTTTATTCCTTCCTTGCTGTTTTGTAATTACACTGTATCCTAACAGGATATTAAAATTGACCTTTCTACAAAGATGAAATCTTGTGATCTATTACCTGTTACTCTCTACAGTTTGTTTTCTTTTCTCCATAACTTTCAATTTCATTTTTATCTCCTTTGTGTGTGATGTCTGCAAATTATTTAATAGAGAACGACGCACAATAAAACGTGGGCACTAATGTTGAAAAAGAACTATACTGAGGAGAGGAGATTGTATACTTGCTGCTTTCCAGTGTTTCTGTAGCCTGGACTAGCCACAATAAACATGCAAGCATATTAATGTAGCTCAGGAATGTGTTTTAGCATTCAGATTTGGAAAATACCATGTTGACCTTCATGGTCTTCATAGCATTTTTAAGGGTAAAAATTGCAGGTTAACGTAACTTACTGGGAAATGTAGCAGCATTAGAAAAGATTAAGAAGTAATAGAAAAGGCCTTGGAAATAAAAACATTATGCAAAAATTAAAAATGCCTTAAAGGTCTGTTTGCAGGTGGACAAAAGACAAGGGTTAGGAGTAATTGCATGCTTTTCCCAATGGTTCCTTTGTGTAGCCTGTATTTAAGACAAAATGAGGTAAAGAGGCATTGTTTGATATAAACATACCTTATTTGTAGTAGTGCAGAAGTTTTGAACTGCAGAGAAGAGAGTGTCTTAAAATGCATGTGAGATGTGCAGCACTTAAGGTTTGAATTTTCAATCTTGAGAGTTATAACTACTTTAAAAAAAAATAATAATCCAAATGCCAAATTTCTAATGCTAAAAATTCAATTTTTCCTCTTTCTTGTTCTTATATGTAATTAACAAAGGGACAGGTGTGTGGTGTAAATGTATCCACACTTGGATGGTGCAGATACTGTGTATGACTACCGCCCAGTTCCGAGGAGCATAAGCTGGTTGCCCATGGTTAAAAATAGAGCTTAAAATCCTCCCATCTCACAAAGAGAATACAGTTTTTTAATCTCATAATCAGTGCCAGCTTTACTGCTTTATAAAATCAGATTATATGTGTCTTAAAGAGAGATAGTACTTCATGTGAAATTTAAGTAGCTATGAAGTGGAAATGTATTAGTTACCAATAATATGACTAATGGTGACTGCCAGTTATGACTGCATTAATAACTGATTGATGTCCTGTAATGGCGTGCGTGGTCATACAAATGCTTATCAACCAAACTGAAGTACTTAAATAGGTCAACCTGTTGATTTTAATATTCTACTTCAGGGTACAGAGTGGGTAGTATTGTAAGATACTACTAGGTGACTAATGTAGAAATGTCGTTGTGATTTAGGCTCATAGTGTCTGAATTCAAAGTACTTCTTTGGTTTTGGAGTAAAGAAAATGTTTTTGTTGTAAATACTCCCTAAAATAGGAAGCTGTAACACCATGGGGAGAGTGTGGCTGACTGGGTAGAGGAAGTCCTTCTGTAAGCTAAACTGTCAGTTTGCTGTTAAGTTAGTGTTGACTTTTCACTAATGCTTACTGATAGGCTGAAATGCTGAATTCTGTGCTTGTTGTGTGTAGCATAAAGCCATAAATGCTCTGAATACTTTTGAAATAGGAAAATAGAACTAAGGATAAGTAGAATGTTTTTAGTTTCTGAAGTATATTGGAAGGTTTTGTAGCCTTTTACTTTTTCAGACTGATTCAAAGCACTTTTAAAGCTATCCAGCATAAATTCTGCATTAGATGTTGGAGCTTACTGGAATTAGGTGTGCATAGAATATTTTTTCTTCAAGTTAATTACATCTGTCTGTTTGTGGGGCATACTTAGTTTTAATAAATGAAATTAATTTCCAGTCCTAGTTCTGTTAGCTCTGAAGACCCAGTTTTGTAATTAATTAATTAGGTTGTATACAGAAAACATGTTCTGTAGTAAGTTTTTAATAATCTTATCTTTCTAACCTCACCGTTCTTCTCCTAAGTGGGGAATGGGTGGATAAATTCGTGCATAAGTCTTTAGCTTGCAGAAAGTACTGGTTGCTGAAGAAACTGGATGTATTACTGCTCAGTATACTCTGAGTTAAATATTTTCTGTGTGGCAGTGAAACTTTTTAATCTTGTCATCTTAAAGTTCTGTTAGTTTATGATAAAGAACACTAAAGATACTTCAAGATTGTTGCTCTGCACAGTGGAGAGTTGGTTTTCGGGTTAAGGAGTGTTCACTCATTTGAAATGTAATCTGTCTTAAAATGAATAACTGAATCTCAGTTGAGAATGAGTGGCACAAAGCGTACAGTTACTTGCAGAATGCATTATTTGTATGTACTCTAAAATCATTTTCTTGTGACAGATATGATTGTCTCCCTAAGTGACTTCACATTCCCCCCTGGAAGTTTTTTTTCCCCCCCCCTTAAGTCTAGGTTTTTCTGTTTGTTTTGTTTGCAAACAGCTTCAGAAGCTTATTCTGACCTTTGTTGCAGCAGACTGACTTACCAGCAGTCAAAGGAAATTTCACTTTGGTGAATGTAGGTTAATTTATACCAAGAACTCAGATATACTTGTTTTATCTCTTACGTTAAGTAGAATCATTATTTTGAAGTGAATGCTTGAATGTATTACTTAAGGTAGTATGTGACTTTTTAAAAAATAGTTTTATATTTTTAACTGAGAACAGAATGAGCATTTTCAGTACAGAAAACTTGAGCATTTTGTTGTGGTTTTATGTAAATGGCTTAAATAAAATAACATTTTGGTTAATCAGTTTCGAATTAGGGGCAGAGGAAGAGCCAGAGGAGTCTTTGCTGGAACAAATACTGGTCCCAGCAACTCAAATACTACTTTTCAAAAGAGACCGAAGGAAGAGGAGTGGGATCCTGAATATACCCCAAAAAGCAAGAAATATTTCTTGGTGGGTGTAGAGAATTCTATCTTATGCATGCTTTTGGTTTTTCCGAGTGCGTTTTTATGTCTGGTGTTAAGGAGATTGACAGCTACAAAAGTTGCATGTTGAGAGAGTAACTGCAGTTATGTAATCAAGAAAATATCCGAGTTCTTGCAGTGCCTAGTTCAGCTTGTCTTTCTGCAGCAGGCTGGAAATAACTGAAGCTTAAGGTAGAATTCTTCTCTAAAGCATATTTTTCAGTGAGATAGGGAAGAAGGCATACACTGGCAAAAAATATGAAAAACAAAAGCAAAAAGACTCGTGCTGTGCCTTCGTGGATTTATCTCAGTTTGGCATTCAAGCTTTGTTTTTACATTCATTTGGAAACACAAAAATGAAAGATCAGGAAAAGCTAACATATTCGTGGATGGATGTGGACCAACTCTGCTATTAGCAGCCTTTCTGTTCTTATCTGAATAGTATGATAGGCATAAGTGATCTTAATTATGCCTTTTTTTTTCCCCATCTGGATTTAATTAATGGAGGACTGTTGATACAACTAACCAGTGAGTAGCTTAGTGTACTGAATATTTAATCTCTGCTGCAGCTGATTTCCTTAACAATGCCAACTTCTAAGGATATTGTTTCACCATTGAAAAACATTAGTTAGCGAAGATAAGACCTTTTCCTATAGTATTGTTTTCCTCACAAATATATTAACAGGTAATCCAATAAATAACACAACTTCAATTTGCATGTGTATACAAAGTTTTCTTCCTGTTTCCACCTGCATATAGTGACATGTGATCAACTGTTCACAAGGAAGTTCCATGATAGCTAGAAAAAAAAATGACTGACTAGAGCTGTTACTTCTTACATATTCAGGAATGTTTGTTTAAAAAAAAAAAAGCCACCTTGTAAATACTTGAATGGTATATAATGGTAAGCTACTTATGTTTAACAGTTTAGATTGCTTTCCAAATCACAAGTCAAAAAAGTAGATATTGGAACAGGTGTTCATCATTCTTCCTAGTGTAAACATTTAATATTAAACGATTTTCTATTGTGTCCACATATGGAATGTTTGTCAGACATGCCCAATTCTGTATTTAGCAGCAAGATAGCAAATGTAATGCTGACTAACCATAACTATTGTTAATATCAGATCTCAGTAGTTTAAAAATGATGTGCAATACCTTGCACAAGCGAAGCAGGGTTTCTTAAAGCCTTCAGTTATCTTTCCTTAAGTATAAAGATTCTCTCTGCCTTAAAGTAGAAAAATAAAAAATAAAAAGCACATTGCTACAGTTCCTTCCTTTAATGTTTTTTCCTTGCTGAAAACTAGTGAGTTCTTCTTTCTGATGACTGAAAAAATAAGTGACAGGTTTGGTTTGTTACTTACAGTGGACATACCCACAGCTAATAATGACTCTTAAATCAGGTTTTTCAAGGTACTTTTAGTTATAGCATTATGAATTGCAGGGATATGTTTTTTCATAATATAATATACAGATTATCTGAGTTGTTTTCAATTTTTTTCTTAATTGTTCTTTTTCTATACGTGTAAATTTGGTTCAGAGTACAGCATTTAAGAGGTGTTGTAACCTTATTGTTTGGTATATTATAGCATGATGACAGAGATGATGGTGTGGATTATTGGGCCAAACGAGGAAGGGGCCGTGGTACTTTCCAGCGTGGCAGAGGGCGTTTTAACTTCAAAAAGTCAGGTAGCAGTCCGAAGTGGACACATGACAAATACCAAGGGGATGGGATTGTGGAAGATGAAGAAGAAACGATGGAGAACAACGAAGAAAAGGACAGACGCAAGGAGGAAAAGGTAAGTGGTTAGTGGAGTGCAAAATACATAAATTTTCTTACAGAATCTCAGGTGGTTGTTGGAGGGGAGGTGGAAGATCACTTGGAAAAATATTTTTAGTGTTTGGTTATTAACAGTTTACAAGAAGACTATTTTCTTTCTTTCTGCAGGAATAACCCTGGAAGAAAGCTGAAAGAGCAGCTTTTGCACCACCCACACAACATTTTTAATATGTTCTTTTTGTTGTCAAATGAATGTAAGCATTTTACTTAAATTTTACTGTTGGAAGTAGTTTAGAAGGATTGTTTTTCTGTTTTAAGCCTTTAGGAAAAAAAATCTTGATATAGTAAACTATGTTAATGATCGTACAGTTAGAAAGTAAAATATTTGTAACAACTTTTAAGAAATTTTACTGTTTGTTATATGCAGTGTAATTCTGCTTTGTCCAAATACATGGTCAAGTACAACTCTTAAAAGTTTTGATTCTCCCCTATGTCTGTGTTTTATTCTGAAGTAAACTTCCAGCTCTGCACACCTGAAATCTTGGAGGAGCATTTTTTATCAGCTGATTACTACTTCTGTGTTGCTTTTTTTTTTAATTAAAAGCGTTTTTAACTATAGTTATCCAGTCATAATGTGAATACAAAGTCATGTATGAGGTTGATTATATGTTAGTTCACAAGAACCACATTTACAGGAGGTCTTGAAATGATAAATTGATTCTTGATTCTTCTCACATTAGAGAGAGAAACTAAAAGATTGTAACTGTCACTGTCGTATAGTAGCCTGAGCAATACATATGCATGTGAATTCTTCAGTGAGTTTCAAGATTATTTCTCTTTTGGAATGTGAATTTTAGAAACCTATTTCCAAACCACTGGTGCTAGAAACTCTGAACAGGTCTGAAAGCTGGAGTGCTGTCTGCCATTTCTACAGTTGGTAGAAAACTATCTACAGCTGTCTTAATTCTGTAACTCCTGTCCGTAACAGGTTAGTCATGTATTATGGATACCTTGTGATGTCTTCCATCATCTAAAGACACTTCTTTTGTCAAGGGTAACATAGTACTATGTTTAAGGTTTTGTAAACCTGTAGTTTAAACTCACTGCAAGATAAAGGTGCTGTCTGTGATTAGGGGTGGCATTTTCAGGGTCAACAAAGATTATATTTTCAGCTTTAAGTCATTAGCTTAGTCTTCCACATTTTAGTTAAGAAATTGATGGCAGTATCAATGCTGCATTTATGTCGGTCTTGGTTTCAATTTGTTAAATTGCCTCTTTACTTTTTTTTTTTTTAATGTGGAATCCCCTCTTCAGGTAAGTAATCTGGCAAGAGTCAGTCTTTAAGTTTTCTATCACATCAGCAACCTTAAGTGAGATCTTGGAGGGAAAACAAACAAACACCAACCCAACACATTCCCCTGAAAATACATAAAGCAAGTTACATTAAAATTTGAATCAGTGAAAATACTTGGAACATACTAAATGATTATATGAAGTATTCTGTTCCCATGCCCTGGAAATACATACTCTTAATATTCCACTTTATCCAGTGTATAAGTCTGAAGTTGTAACTTGATAAAAGCTGTTAGCAGAGGATGTGAAAAATGAGTTAGTCTTTTACACTGATTTTTTCCAAATACTTGTGCCCTTTCAGTATTGTAGTTAAAATGTAGGAGTCAGTCTACAGTATTTAAAAAAAAAAAAGTGCTTTGATTAAAATGAAAGTGTTATTTCTCTTAAATACATATGCTCTCCTACTAGCTTTGTTAGTAGTTAACTAGCTGACCTGTCCATGTTAAATAGTAGAAGGCAAAAAACCAGTGTTCTAACTTTGAAGACAGTGGATTTCAGATTGCACTACTGTGCCAGCATCTGTGTAGGAAGGGAAATAGGATTAATATTTGCCCTTCAGTGGTAGGTACTAAAGGATAATTTCTGCCTTACATTTAAAGAAGTTTAGACAGACTATACCCTTTTTGCAAAACTTGCTTTTGTATATACAGTTCATCTTTTAATAACCATTTGAAATGTGAACTGATTATTTTTCTAAGTAAATCTTGCATGTAACTTATGTATACTGAATTAGAAGCAAAAAAAAAAAAAAAGCAGAACAATAAAGTGGTATACTGACAGTGTCAGAGCCTATCTTAATGGGACTACTACATCTGTCTGAAACTGAGTAGGACCAAACTTTACTATCATAACCTCAGAACAGATAAAGTCTGCATGGTCTAGCTCAAGTTGAAGCTGGATTGTTGTGATGACCTGTTATGGTTTGTTTTTGTTTGTTTGTTTTTGAAAAGTAGTTCTTGCCTGAGTTTTCAGCTTCATTGAATATGCAGGGTAATCTATTATGGATTGCTTTGATAATGGCATGTGATTGTTACGTAGCCTTACCTTTAGACATATCTGTAGGTTAGATTACAAAAATCCTTTTTTTTTTATTCCACTTAACTTGAGTGCATTTTTTAATAAACATAATTTCTTAATTACAGCAGTGACAGTGACAGCTGTAAGTTTGAGTGCTTCATTTCAGATAATCCAGGATGCAAGTTGCACTCCTTCAAAGATCTGTAAGAAGTAGAAATGAAATTGGGCTCAGACTTTTTCTTGACTATAAAATTAAGCATTTACCATACTATCTAGTCCTTCAGTATATTGAATAGTGAATTTTCACAGTTGTGTTAGAATTAATAAGGACAACGTAGTTTGAAGTTCTCAGATCTGCTGAAATAGTTGTGTGACTGGTAAATAGGAAGTATTTAGTGCATTCTGTATTTCTCTTGCTGAAAGCTAAAGACTGTCATTGACAGATCCTGGGTAGGAGAAGAAAGGTTCAAGCTTCCTTCCTGTATCAGATGTTCAATTACACTTTGAATTAAGTAATTCATTTTAACTTATTGCTCTCCAGCAGTAAAAGAACTCATGAATCTCCTTTATCTCTTCATGGTACACAGTTCAGAGGAAATCATTTCAAATTCAATCAAATTCATTTTTATAGGAAAATTAAACTGTAGCAGCTATGTTGCTGGTCTAGACATTATGCTGTTGTTCATTTTCTCAATTCAGAAGTATTTACTTTCCAGAAACAATCAGTAGCATAACAGTAAAAACAAACACCTGCATAACAGTGAAACCTTTCCTGCGTTAGCTTTGCTGTGTTGGCACTTAGTGAGTATGCAGAAGAATTCTCGCTCTGTAGCTTTCATTTGCCTCCAAAAGCATCAGTTTGTAAGCCCCACATCACTCCTCATTTATTAAAGCTATCCTTTCATGAAATCCCTTGGTAAGTAGATGAAGCAGGTCACATCTGTGCTCTTTAGAATTGCATAGAAATAAATGATTCAAGTTAGCAAGAACCACTTTCCTGCTGAAACCTGGGAAACCGAAGCAGTTATTGATGATGATGCAGTTAAGCTAAAACAACCTCCATTGTGCAGTTATATTTGAGATACCTGCCTTTTTCCAGCTCTGTGGACATATTCCCTCCTTTAGTAAAGAGATGACAGAGCAGTGGGTGGATGTTATTTTCTGAAGGCAAATGCTGTTGTATAGTCTTCTAAATACAGCAGAAATAGGACTTATAAGTTGGTATTTTGTCTCAAGATCAGTCCATATTACGAGTTATGAATAATAGCCACAAGAGTAACTGCATGAGAAGGCTATATAGCAGTTGCATTCCACCCAAGTGTTGCAGGATAGGTTTACACTTAGGAGCTGTTACTGAGACATACCTGTAAACATGAATAAAGATGATGCCCCTGTGATTAGCAATTTATCTCAACTTTTTGACAACTTTGAAGCTAGTGTTATTGACAACAGTGCAAGCTGCTCTTTGACAGTCAGAATTCTGAACAAATATAGCAATAACTACACAGCTGGAGAAAAATTTCCACGGTTCTTCTGTTGCTCAAGTTCTGGTTTGAAGTAACGAGACAGTGCTGCTCAAATCTTGGTGAGATTAACAAAAAAAAGCTTTGCATATTGTACTAACTTTTAGCAGTCCAGTTTTGTCTGTTGTGATAATATCACATGTCCTTTCTTGAAACCTACGTTGCTGTAGTTCTTTGAACAAATCAAAAGATCAACTGCATGCAAACCTAAAATGTAGTTTATTTCTCTGACTCATTATTTCAGCTGCCCAGTGAGAAAACTACAGGCTTTTTCAACAGTTAAAATTAATGGACAAATGTAGTTAATTGGACACTTCTTCAGGGTGGCAAAGGTATTACTGTGCTGGAGACTCTTCTCAACTGGAGTGCATTAGTTTCTCCCAATAGGATGCAGCTGGTATGTATGGATGTGGCATACTCCCTGTACTAGTGCTTACCAGCTGAACAGCTGTCGCCCAGTCAAGTCCTGCTGCTGCGAGGAGTTTCTTTTGTTCATGAGTACAGTGTACACAGTTTGCACACACTCCACGTTCCTTCACTCATAAAATCCCCTACATTACTTTGCTGTACTGAGTTACTTAACTGTGTTTTCAGACTGTTGTTTAGTTGAAAGGACCACTCATGGAAGCTTATTGCTTGATTACCTAAAGAGCTGAATGCTTGATGTTCCAGAGTGAGGACAGTCCTTTTTGTGCTTTTCACTTCCTTTGGGTCCTGGGAGAGAGACTACATTGTTTTATGTTGGCCAAAGACAAAGCAACTTTACCTCAACTATCCTGAAATTAATATTTAACGTAAAGTGACTTTCTGTTGATACCATCATAGGAAGGCATTAATAGAGACTTTTTAAAGTTGTTATTCCCTGTTTCACTTGAGCACGCAAGAAGACAAGCATTCATGTTGTTCTCTTATATGTTGGATGCTGCTTGCCTGCCTTCAGGAGCAGGGATTAGAGATGCAAAGCAAGCTCGAGGCTTTGCGCACAGGTGCGATGTCCACGGAGAATGTTAAGACCCTCCTTCAGGCCCCGTCCTCCCAAAGCTAAGGCAGACGCGGCTCGCTGCCCACCAGCCGTACACCCCGGACGGGCTTCTGCCGGCGGAGGCGGTTCCTCCTTGGCCGCCGCGGAGGCCGTTCGAGGCGCAAACGATGGCAGCTGCGGCAGGCTCCAACCGCCGTGCCGGCGGCATTCAAACTGCCCCCTCCCGACGCGCCCCGCGGGAGCGGCCCGCCCCCGGCCCTCCATCGGCTGTGCTGAGCGATGCAATCTCTCTATTGGCGAGACTTCTTTTCCGTCCCTCCCCCGTTCGCTGATAGGTGCCGCCAGCCGGGGCTCGAGGCGCGCGGGGTGCCGGCCGGGGCCCCCTGCGCCTCGCGGTGCCGCCATGGTGCTGCTGCTGCACCTCCTGCGGCGCCTGCTGGAGTATCTGGGCTGGCCGCCCGAGCAGGTGAGAGCTGGGCGAGGAGGGGGAGCGCTGCCCCGGGTGGGGGACGGAGGGCGCGTGCCGGCGGGAGGCACCGCTGCGTGTCCCGGGGGGTCCGCTCCGTTGGTGCGGAGCTGCCTGGGAGCTTGGGCCGTTCCCTGGTTCTTCTGTCTGCATTCGGTGCTTCGCCGACAGGCCGCCTTCCTGGAAACCCGCGTGCTGGGCGGAAGCCGTGCGGTCGGAGCGCGCCTCTCCTCCGTGGTCCCGTCTGGAGGGAGCGTCCAGCAGCTGTGTGCGGCGTTACGGAGGTACCAGGCCAAGGTACGGTACGCCAGTGTTGCTTCTTTACTGGGAGGTTTTCCTGAGAGCCGCGTAGATGCGTCTGGTTGCTCAAAAATGCGCTGTTTTTCATTCAGTAGCTCAGAATCCTGCTAGTGATGCGATGTACCTGCCGCGTTCCTCGATGGCCTTTGTGCTTCCCATACGTGCTGGGTCAGGCTGTCTGCGTGTGGTTTTGGAAGCAGGCTGCTAAACCCTCTAGAACCTTCAGCTTGAGGTGTGGGAAGGTTGCCTTAACCTGACTGCATTGCCCTTAATCGCATAGAATATTGCACCTTTTAATATCCTTCAACATAAAAACAATGGGCTTCAATTTTGGTCCCTCTATTATAAGGTGTTCTCGTTTTTAGGTCATATCTGTTTGCCAAAGAAAGGAATATGGATCTACTCGAAGTGTTGTTCGTAGACTTGGGACAATTCTTTCCTTAGAGCCCTACCCAAGACCTTATTTTCAAGTAAGCAATTTATGGTTATAAATAAGCTTCAACTGCTTACATCTTCTAATTCCTGAAGGCAGTGATAGCTTTCTTGATCTTTTTAGTAAGCTTAACTGATACTTCGCATCCCTTAAGCTCACTTTCTCAACATGCTTACTATTTAAAGCTATTTAAAACTTTTTTGCTGAGGCAAAATTTTTGGTGTGCACTAAGTCCAGTTTTTCTATGCGTATTTTTGTCTTAGTTTGTTCACCACCTGAGTCCATTGGATCATGATGAACAAAGCATGGTTCCAATACCTGTAGCTCCATCACTTGCTGATGTCCTGTGGGTAGCGCATGAGGAAGGACAACCATTTGCTAGATTTAGGTAAGTGGAAGTAAAATATGTGCATAGAAAAGAGTAATAGTGTAAATGTTTGGGTTTTTTCTTGTCATCTTGTTTCCAAGCTTTCTCAGTGTTCCAGTTAAACCAAGCCTGCAAATTTTTTATCCAGAATTTCTTCCTGTGTAGAATATTTTTATCTGAAAGATTTCTGATGCTGAGTACTGCCATTCCTTCTAATGGCATATCAGATGAATTAGTGGTGTTTTTAACTCACATTTTTACTCAAGAAGTATTTTGTAGGGGCAGAAGTTTGAGAAAAACATGTTGCAACAAAGCATAAAGTGTTTCTTATTGATATCTTAGTTCACAAATATTTTGATAAACATTATAAAGGAGAAAATGCAGAAAAAATATTTAAATGCCTCCTTTGAATCTAATTGCTACAGTGCTGCATGTGTGAAGTTTGTTACTTTAACGGACTGAAGAATGTAGAATTGTTTCAGTTGAGAGGGATCTATAAAAATCACTAACTCCAGCTGTAAGACTACTTCAGGACTGACTAGAAGTTAAAGCATATCATTAAGAGCATTATCCAAATGCCCTCTAAACACGAACAGACACAGAGCATCAATTGCCTCTCTAGGAAGCCTCTTCCAGTGCAAAACTACTCTCTTGGTAATGAGGACTTCCCTAATGGCTGGTCTGAACCTCCAATAACACTTTTTTTAGCTGTTGCCATGTGTCCCATCACTGGTACGATGGAGAAAGATTTGGACCTTTCTCTCAGCTTTCTCTCTTTGTAAAGTTGTAACGATCAATAAGGTCTCCCCTAAACTCTGTTTCTGCAGTCTTAACAAAACCAGTGTCCTCAGCCTCTCCTCACCAGACATGTCTTCCCGCCCTCTGTTCACCTTTGTTGCCTTCCTCTGGATACTTTCAAGGGCCTTAATATACCTTTTTAATTTGTGGAGCCCAGAGCTGCACACAGTGTTCCAGGTGAGGCTGCTCTACCACTGAAATATGGAGGGAGAATCACCTCTCTTGACTGGCTGGTTGTGTTGTGTTTAATGCATCCCAAAATGTTGTTTGCCCTCTTGTCTGCTGGCTTGTGTTGAGCCTGCTGTCACCAGCATCCCAGGTCCGTTTCTGCTCTGTAGCTCTCCAGCCAGCTCTCCCAGTATACATATATCTGTCTGACATTATGTCAGCTGAGGAATCTGGTATTTGTTCTTTTTAAGTTTTGTGCTACTGATGATTGCTCAGTTTGTATAGATACCTCAGCCATACTTCTCATCCCTTAAGAAAGTGAACAGCACCTCCTACTTCAGTATCATCAACAAGTTCACTAAAGATGCATTAATCTCTTGTATCCAGATGACTGAAAAATACATTGAATAGAGCTGGCCTCAAAATTGAACCGTGGAGAATGGCAAAAGCAACTGGCTGCCAGCTAGATGTATTCCCATTGATTGCAACCCTCTGAGGCCTATAGTTCAGCCAGTTCTTCACCCAGTGTATTGTGTACCTGTTCATCTCACTGTTGGATGATTTGTACAGAATACTACTGTGGAGCAATATCAACAGTCTCACTAAGATCTAGGAAAATTAAATCCACTGCCTTCTCCTCTTCTACTTAGGGAGGTGATGTTGTAGAAGGATACCAAATTAGTGAGACAGGACTTTTCCTTTGTGGACCCCTATTGGCTGGGGCGCATTATTACATTATCTTTTAAGTGTCTTTCAGTGGTGCTGGGATAATCTCCAAAATTTCTGCAAGCACTGAAGTTAAACTGACATGTCTGTAATTTCCAAGGTTGTCTTTTGTGCCCTTCTTGTGAATTGGGGTATAGTTATCTTGATGCCTGTCAGTAGAGAAGTCCCTGTATTCCCAAGGTTGCTGACAGAGGGGCCCAGCTAGTACATCTCCTAACTTCCTCAGTACTTTTGGCTGAATCCCACCAAACTCAGTGGGCTTAAAAGCATTTAACTGATATAACTGGTTCCTTAAAATTTTGTATCAACAAATGGAAATTTGCAGTCATGGTCTTCCAGCTCATAGGACTGGGCAACACAAGGTCTATCATTAATATTAGCCTTTTCATAATCTCTGTCAAACATCTGGCTTCATCCAGTAGCTGTCCAATATTTTCATTAGTCCTCCTCTTGCCTTTAACATACTTGAAGAAGTCTTTTTTGCTGAGACATCGCTGAACAGTTTTAACTCTGGATGAGCTTTGGCATTGTTTTTCCTGCAAACGCCAACTAGAGCTCCACAGTCTTTGTGTTTCTTTATTTTAAAAATTTACCTTGAATATCACCTATGCAGTTCTTTAATAACATGCTGAAGGAAATTTTGTACATTGAGAAAATGTAAGTACTGTAAGATGACGGATTATTCTGAAATTTGCAGACAGATGGTATACAAGTCTTCCCCCCATCCCTTCTCTATCCCTCTAGAGAAAAAAATAGGAAGTTGGCTTATTGTTCCTTGTATAGGATATGTTCAAAGCCAGAGGAGAAGTCAGAAGCAAGATTTAAATGTGGATACTTCTGTATCCATATCTACATTCTGGAGTGTAATCGAGCTTTATACTGCTTTTCTGACATCTGTTTTTCTGTTATCTTAGTTTACTGCTTGCTGGTATTGAAATTTCAAGATGCTAATAAATTGAAATGACACTTTGTACTACAGAAGTTGTGATTTTTTTTGTTTTTCATCTTTGGGTTCTTCATCTGTTACCATTGAACTACCAAAGTTGTTTTGAAGCACTTGCAAAGTACTAAAAGAGTAAGAGTATTGTGAAAAGGAACTGTGTGTCCTGTTTTATCTTTGCTTGTGCTGCTCTTTAGCTCTTCTAGCTCAGATCCAACACACTTCATTTTTCTGTTGTTTCTGTTCTTCCTCCTTCTCTCCTGGCTCTGTGGGATGTTTTTCAAGGTCAGGTGCAATGCATATCTCTTCCTTCTGACCTAGTATGAAAAACAACATTTTCACAAATAAGAAAATAATGTTGCAGGTGTGGTTTTAAGTAAAAGGATAATGGATGTAAGGAGAATGGTCTGTTTTCGTTTCAGTGAATATTGAATGAATTCTGTTAGTTTGAATTATTTGAATGCTGTTAGTTTGAGTTTATGCTCATTCTGTATTTAAAGTTATTTCTGCAGGGCCTGACTTGAAATAACTTTTAAAGTTGAAACACAAGAGCTGTAGCACAATTCTCTAATGCATTTGTGTTACATATACAGCTTAGAAAAGATAAGGTTCTTATTTGGCAAGTATTAAAATTTATAATTATCCTCTATTGTACTTTCTGAAAGATTACAGGTTCTTTGCTGCTTACAGTGTTCATCTTGCAGAGTTTGATAAATGACTAAAATGTGTGAAGTAATTTTGAAGAGATCATTGCTGACTCTCCCTGTTTCATGCAGGGAAAAGGGAGAGGCACCACAGTCATGGAATAGTAGCAGCTCAGTCCTGCACTGCAGCCTCGTTTAATTTATCCCCAAGTAAAAGATCTATTTTGATTATGACTGTTCAAGGATTTGTATCTTACTTTAACTGTTGGAAATTTAAAATACTGTTTAAGTTATTTCAGCTTTTTGTTTTCTTAAATAGTTTGCAAATTTTAGGTCTTGCAGAATGGTAATAACTTGCTTGGACAGATGTGTAGTCTTGAGATTTCTTTTGCTGGCTGAACCTTTTAAACTGTCTTTTATTCCTTTCTAGGACTGAATTATGGAGAAAAGAAAAAAGTACAGCTTACCGTGACTTACATCCATCTATAGATTCCATACCAAGTATTTCAAAAACCAGTACACGAAAAGACAGTCTTGTTGATCAAGCAGCACTCCAGAAAATTTCTGCACTCGAAGAAGAGCTAACTTTTCTTCGTACTCAGATCGCCACAATTGTTGCAGCACAGACACTGGGAAGCATTCCATCACGTAAGCCATTCTGGTTTGTTTTGTTTTTTTTTCTGCCTTAGGAGTCTTCTTCATGGATTGCCATGCCTCTGAGATTGATATAGAACATCTCTCATTTCTTCACCTGAAGTTACTTGCACCAACAACATTTATGAACGTAGTATTTGTTTTGTGATGGTTGTGTTGCTGCTGTGGCTTGTTTGTTTATTACTTTTTAAAAACTTTTCTCCTCCAGCCTCTTTACCCTTTGACTTTTTGTGGCTTGCTTGCCAATTTCAAATGCAGTTGATCCTATGTGATGTCTATATTCATTTTCATGTTTGTGAAGGAATTTTGTAACAGCACTAGTAATAAACCACTGGTTACTGTTTAAAAAATAATAATTTTAACTTTAGAGTTACATACAGCTTCTGACAAGTTATCAAGTCATCAAATGGTTAAAAACATTCTGAGGAAGTCAGGTTCAGGATTTAAGATAAACAGGTGCTCCAAGTAGGTATGTAACCACCTTTGGAGCATCAAAGATAGTTCATCTCTGGTCCGAGCTTCAGTCTTCTGATTTTTCCCTTAAATGATTTGAGATCCTGCTTTCCTTGTACACTAACTCCACTGTGGCTGTCAAAGCATTGGGACTGATGTGTTTACATTTGTGTAGTGAGTACTGTGCCGAGTGAACTTAAACAGTTCTGAGGCCTCTTATCTTTCAGCTTAGCTCTGCTGACACTTCTCCTTAGTGCTCTGCATACAGTTTTGTAATCTGTTTTATGTGTTTTGTAGTTTTCTTTGCTGGTACTTCATTTGGTTTATTGTAACCTTCGTACCATTGAGAATGAACTGTATGTAGCTGCAGGGTGCTTTCTGCTTCAGGTTCCTGATTAATCTAGTGCAAAGATCAAAGATATAAATGGAGAAAATTGGAGCAGCCCAAACCACCTCAGTACTGTTATTTCATGTATGCTTAATCTATGTGTTTAAAACCAAAATTGATCTTGTCACTTATTTTCTTCTGTGGTATGATGCATGAGTTGTGTAAGGAAGTGCTATGAGAGGGTGGGTCGTCTTATCTGGACTTAAGCAATGTCTAGGATGACTCGGGTTTAATGTTAATTGCTAAGGTACTACTGAGTGTTAAAAATAAAATCCCTCTTTTTCTTTTATGACTGCATTCAGAGCCCTTTAGAACATTCAGCATTCCAGATGGATCTTACCCAGTGCCAACCATGACTTCTACGCCATTGTCCGTCTCTCACAATCACTTTGCAATTCCTTCTCCTCCCCCACTTCCTTCTGCTGCACCATCTGGTGTTGATGCTAGTAATTCAGCAATTGAACTTATAAAACAGCGTCGTGCTGCAAGAAACAGTGCTTCAACTACGGGTGATAGTGCTGATCCCCAGAGGATGAAGAACATTCCTAGCATGATGGATGTTTTGAAAGATCTAAACAAAGTTCAGTTGCGTGCTATTGAAAGGTAGGTTGAACTGAATGCGTGCCTGAATTATCCAAGGCTGTGCAGTCATCACAGCAGTTAAAACAGCAGCAGAGAACACCACGATCAATTTAACAAGCAGCTATTACTGACAAACTGAAGTTTATAATGTTTAAGTTCTTGGACTAAAGTGTGAGATATTCATGGTGCGGCTTTTAGATTAAAAATGCTGAACATCACAATTTTTAAAACTACTGTCCTGAGTTAGAATAGAAATCTCAAGTTGTTTGACTTTTGGTGTGTGGGTGTCTTTTGTTTCAAGACTGAGTCTATTTGAAAATAACTTACAAAGTTGCATACAGGGTTCTTCTGGAAAGTGCTTTAAAGGGTAAACTTTTTACACTCACTGTGAAAGGACATATCTTTTGGGAAACACTGGGAACTAACTTAACCAAAATATTCTCTTTCCTTTGAACTGTTAAATGCATTCTGTGACTTATTGAAGATGCTTCATGAATTTAAGTAGTGCAGTTGTGTTATAATACTTTTCATGGTCTACTATTTTGATTTTAAGCTCTGTTGACAGGTTACAAAATTTGTTTACTAAAGCTTGTAACGTGTCTTTGTGTCAGTGTTGGTCTGCTTTGTTAGATGTGATAAAGGTTGTTGGATGTCTTTTCTGAACTTCTGGAGTTTAAAAATAATGGTATGCAAGAACAATAGGGTATCTAATGAATAAGAGAATATTGGCAGTAAAGTTCAAGCTCTATTGCCATACTGCCAGCAATCCCCACTGTGGGCCGGTTGCATAAAATAGGAGGCAATTACGTTCAGGGCAGCCCTTGTTTTCTTCTATATAATTTCACATAGCATGAAGGAAGAAAGTGAGAAGTGAAATGTTTATAATTACAGTTTGAATGATCATCATGTTGAGCAGGGGCATAGAGGAACTGATAGTTGTGTATCTGAAGTGCTCCTGGATTTAGGCATCTACTTGAATTCTGGAGATAGAACTTAACAAGAAATTTATATCTGCGGTCCTTCCTCCTACCTTTGGGCTTACGTTGTTGTCCAGCCTGTCAGGCAGCAACCTGGCAGCAGTTTAGAGGGAAGAGAAGGCCTTTGTTCTCCAGAACGTGAGGGGTCCCTGCTTCTACCACCTGAGCACCACCTTACACAGTGGGCAAGTGCTCCAACAGCTTGATTGTATATGAAGGGTGAACTCTGTCCTTCCATGTTTCATGTTAAATCACATCGTCTGTAACTGTCAGAGTTTGAGCTCATTGCTGTCAGTGTGCTTTAGGAACAATTCATTTATCTGGAAATAATTGATCTCTAGAGGTCCCTTCCAACCCCTACAATTCTGTGATTCTGTGAAATAGCACTTCACTAGGCAAAAGTGTGAGTTATAGATTTGTTTCAAATATCTCAGTAGTTAGCATGGCCTCTTATGACTTAATTTATTGAACTAGTCGCTAATTTCCATATTTATGTTGACACTGGGGTGCTAGGTGCTCTTTAGATCTGGTGTATTTTTGCCATCTTTCAATTTTGGATTTGATGAAAACAACTTGTCTAATTTTTGACTATAAACATTTCATATTTGGATGCTTAGGTGCTCGCTTATATGGAAAATCTCTTAGAAGCCTTTGTGCCAAATTCGATAAATTTCCTTAGATAATCATAGAATCACCAAGGCTGGAAATGACCTCTAAGATCATCCAGTCCAACCATCCACCTGTCACCAATATTTTTCACTAAACCATGTCCCTCAGTGCAACATCTAAATGTTTCTTGAGCACCTCCTGGGTCAGTGACTCCACCACCTCCCTGGTGGGAGTGGTAATGCTTAAAGCGAGTTCAAGTGTGGTTTATAAATGGGACTTTATTTTCATCTGGATGCGTATTTACTTAAAGGAGGTGCTGTTTTTCTTTAAATACGATTGCTCTGAGAAATTGTGTAAGTTCTCTCTTTTTTCTCTGTACTTCTTACTGAAGTTTATATCAAAATATTTCGTAACTTTTTTCAACATACTAGGCATTTTCCACTAATATGCTTAAAAATAGCTCTGAAATGTAGCCTGTTATAAAAACCATTCTTTTATTTTTTTCTTTTAATCCATTACCTTACCACTTGATTTACTGCCACTTTTCTTTAAGGAGCAGCATTTTTGAGCTAACAGTCTGGCTGACAAGTTCCTAAGTGTACTGTTAGTAGTCTTATTTGGTGAATTGCTGAAAATAATGTGAGCAGCATTATTTGTGTGACCTAGGATAGGACAGGGAGTATATGAAAGTCGTGTCTTGGGATTTTAGATAGCTAAGCACATAATTATGGGCAGGTAATAATACATTTTCTTTATAGGTCACCTGGAGGTACTCCTATGTCTAAACCAAAAAAAAGGAGAAGCTCAGATTGGGATCCAGTTGCTCTACTAACTCATGCACTAAAACAGAAATTTGCACATAAGTATGAAGATGAGGATGATTCACTGGACAAAGAAAACAGATCTTTCGATAGCTCCCCATTTTCCAGTCCAGAAATCCCAGTGGTATGTTTTTATATACGTTTTTCATATCTTGAAAGATGTAGCATGTGGCTTACTGAGGTATGGACATTTGCTTGATGGTAATTAGTAGTTATTCGTGTGTAGAAACTGTGTATTTAGTAAGCCTATTAATTAACTAATTTTACAAGAGGTCTGCCTAAACTTGCTATGTGTTCAAAGATGAAAATGAAAGATTTGGATTTAGCATTTCTCTTGTGGTTCTCTTGTGGTAGCATCATTTCTACAAATGCTGCGTCTTTATTCTGAGTAAAGATTCTGAATGTTGTTGCAGAGCACGTGAAAAAATATAGACAGCTAGAAACTTGTTTAAACAAAACAGCCAGGCTTATATTGTGCACCACTGCATTGCATGGCTAGCATACCTGATTCTAGATGGGAAGACAGAAGTGAGATCCAGGAAGAGCTTATTTATGGATCTGTTGCTCCAGATCTAGCAGCTGAATTTATAAAGCCGTGGAAGAGCGACTGGAGTGCTAGCGTGTAGATAAAGAAAGACGGGCTCTTTTGGTTAGAGGCTTAACTGCAAGATTAGTATGATGAATATGCTTATTCTAATTGTTCACCCATGAGTGTTCTGAAGAATAAATGCGCTTGAAGTAATTTCACAGGTTTACTATCTTATTTTCTTAGGTTAGGAGTACAGAACATTTTTAAACTGTCTTCATTGTAAACGTCTTCTCATTTGGTTGTCTTTGGTACAATTTTACCTAATGCTGCCCCTGTTTTTCCTAGATTGGACGTTGCAGCCTGAAGACAAGTGCAAATTCTAGCCTTGTAAGAACTGACAAAGTTAAACAAGTATCAGTGTGGAAAGTGAGACCTCATATTTAACTGATGGAGGGAGACTTCTGCTGAAACTTGGTACTGTGTGTAAGTGGCAGTGCTGCTTTGTGGAACAGCTGTAATGTGTTCTAGAACGTCTCTGTCTTATGCTGTTGAAGTTTGGATTGTAGGCATGTGAAATTGCCTCTTAGTTTCCCAGCAGCTGAACTTGTGAATCTGATGCTTTCTAAGAAGCACACAACCAAAAAAAGTATCTTGCTATTGTGGGACGTTGTGTCTTAAATCTGGGAAATAAAGGAAATAAATGTGTGAAAGAAATGTAATTATTGGTGTGGCAGCTGTGGTGTGTGCTGTCTCTGCACCTGAGTGTAAATAATGAAACAGTGTAAACTTTTGATTGGAGTGTATTATATATAGCTGATTCTATACAGCTGATGGTAGCTAACACTGTAGTATGGTTTCCTCTGGTTTTCTTTGCAGCTTGTTAATACAGCTCCATATTTCATATGCAAATAATATTTCAGTTTATTTTGCATCTGTGGAGAAACTTTTATTTGTGAAGCTTTGTCTTATTCTAAGTACACTGCAGGCTGCCTGTTAGATGCTTGTAATATGAGGGAGTTGTCTTCACAAAAAAAAAAAGGACTTTTTTAGAGGGATATGCTAACGTGTAGTCTAACTTCTGTGTATAAATAAACCCTGTATTATTTCTGTCACTGGCTTCTCTGTATGAAGTCTTTGTTCAGAGTGCATACAATAAAATTTCCTTTGTATCTTGTATGTGTGTAGTAGTGACATTTCTGTCTTGCAGGCTGTTTTGTCTTCTTGTCTTCTATCTGAAGAGCTGACCATATTAGACAACTTCTTAGGTTGTATCATCTAAAATTACTTTAAAGAGTGCTGACACTTTTCTTGCCAGAATACTGGGAGTTCCTAATTTACAGATTTGTTGTGATCTACTGTTTGAAATAGCTGCCTTTGCTTAATCTTTTGGTTTTATGCATCTGGATTATTAGAAGAACCTTATATCAATTGAACTGTGAACTGTATGCATTGTATGTCCTTGTGCATCTTCTATTTTCTTACCCACCTGCACAGAGTACAGTGCCATTTGGATTCCCTGTTACTGCCCAGTCTGATCTGCTGAGTAGTTAGAATTTGCTGTTCAAATTCCATACTTCGGTTTTAATTTCAGAAGTTAATATTTTGACTAAAATTAGAGCTTATGGAACTATTTGTTTCTTAAATAATGTTTTCAAGATGTTTTTTCCTGATTTTTACTAACTGTTGAACTTCATCACACTGTCTCATTTCTTTCACAGTCCGTAGCAGCCAGGCATTCCCTTTCTTTTTGTTTCTAAAATATGTATTTGCTACATTCTCTACATAACTTGCTATGAAATCCACACAGAACAAGCAGCTTGGCCCTCTGCTTAGTAAACTTTACCTCTGCTATCAAAGTTCTAGTTGTCTTTTGTCTGCTGCTCTGATAAAGTAGGGAGCAGCAGTGAAAGAAATCCATGAGTGCCTGCAGAAGAGAACATGAGAACAAGTGGGTTCTGTTATGTGTAAAGCTTATAAAATAGACATGAAAGAGATCTCTTTTGCTTCACCACTTCACACTTCAGATACTGAGCAAGTTACCCTTTTTTGTTATGTTAGCATTCATAGATCCAGGGGATCTCTGGATTTATGAATGTTCTGTTGAGACTGACAAATGTGGACGTGGAATTCCTTCAGTGAGAAACTGAGTTAATTGGGAAGCTCTGGCTATAACAGTCTTCTAGTTCTTTTGCCTTCTGTGGTCAGCAGTTTTTTCTCTTTTTAGGAAGAAATGCTGTTTTGGACTCTGAGCTGCTTCTGTTTTCTTCAGATTTTGTCTGGTCAAGAGCAGTTCCCAGTTGGAAGTTTGGATTTGAAAATGGATTCTCCTTGTTTTAGAAAAGACTTTTCTCCACAATTTCTCTTAAACAGCCATCTAGTTTCAGACTTCAGAAACATCTACAATTATTAGTGAGCTGTTTGGCTCTCCAGACTACTAGGTACTAGCTGTGATTTTTAGGTCAGTGTACTGTGAATTTTGCTATAATGCTATAATAGTTTTTATAGTTGATTTGCTTACTTGGAGGAGGGAGAAAAGTCATGGGCCCTGTGTTTTGTTTTGTTTTTCTTTCCAGCAATGTAACAATTTCACATGTGAACAGATTTTGTTTCTTGTTCCAGTGAATTAGATAAGGCAAGGAACTGTGATATACCTTGAGAACTCTGGGGGAGGCATCTAATAACTTTTGACAGTTTTCAGTAGTAAGAAGTTGCAAAATGTTGGATGTCACATTTTCTCTAAAATGAAAATGTTAGCCCCAGTTGCAGAGGAGATTTTTTTTCCCTTTCAGAATTAGTGAGATTTAGCTTTGTTGTCTTATTTTCTTTTACTGGAACATCTGTATCAACAGCTTTGAAGCAACTCGATTTTCTGTAAGAAGAATCTGTGCCCTCTTGACCTATGAAAAACCTTTATTTGCTCAGTGGCAATACAACTCCTATGTTCTCAGGAGTAGGTGAGAAGACTCAGGAGAATGTTCCAGCAGGCTTCAGCCACATCTGTATTACCTTCTGGGTTTACCACAGTGATCTATGAATTATGTGTGTGATTATTTAAAGCATGCTTGTATGAAATTTGAGTAGTTTGCAGAATTGGTTCTAATACTTAACAGAATGCCATCGCTTCTCTAAACAGCAAATAGGAAAAGCTAAGCTTTACTGAAGTTTTCTGGTGAGCAACATGGGCAATATCCCTGTGGGATGAGAAAAATACACGAAAATTTGACATTCTTCTTGTGCTAGGTTAGCGGCAGGATTTGATTTAGTAACTTGCAATTAAAGAGATGTTTTAAGATGTAAAACCTCATTTTAAAAACTCTTAGGGAGAAAATACAGCTCTTTTTCTTCTGAACAACATTATTCTTCATATTTATAGCTTATGTTTTTTTCTCTAAGGCATGTACATTTATGATACTATACAGTTTGGCATGGAGAGTGTACTATTATGTACAGTCTTATGTATAGTTTAAATGCTATTAATGAAAAAAAGCTTTGTTTTACTTGCTTAAATATTGAGATTTTACAAGAAGCACATTCCTTTTGTAACTGAATTTGTTATTAAAAGAAGCATTGTTCAAAATAGTCTATTAGTAACTTTTCACAAAATCACAATTAGAATAAGCTACCCTTTATACAAGATCAACTAACTTCACTGGAACGTCTTGACAACTGTGCTAAGGTTTTTGAGAAGAACTGATGTAAACTGAAATATGTTTAGTACTTCAATACAGCCACGAAGACTTGCTGGTTCTCTTAAAGTTTTAATGACAATCCTCTAAAATGGAAAGCTGACAAGGCCCAAGACTATAAAACTATGCAGTTTTTCACATGCATGTATTTTTTTTAATCTTGTTTTGTATTTTCTTTTTTCCAGTGTTAGTGCCTACCATCTTCCATTCCTGCTCACGTGTCAGCCTACAACTCATCCTTTCCTCTTGTATAGGAAAATTATTGCCAGATACAGAAAATACTTGAAGCTTTTGAAGCGTAAGTCTAGGCATTAATTATATGTTTTCAAAATTCATCTAAGGAGAACTTTCATAATCATCTTCATAGACCCTAAGTGGTAATTAAAAGATTTATAAGATTATAAGACAAAGTTGTTGATTTGTATGATTTTGAGCTTTAAACAAACAAACTCATTCTTGTTTCTGAGGATATGATATGGGATGTACTATTTTTTCTTTTTTATGGCCTATACTTTTGTTTCTTTTTAGTTTTGAAATCTGAAAATCTCAAGTTAATGGGTAAAATTTACTCAAGGCAAGTATGTGCTTTTTAGTTGGTTTTACCTTTGCTGTACTTGCATAAGTTAATGTAACTTAGCAACTTTCAAACCACTGTAGTTTCTTCATAAAGGTACTACATTATTCTGCTTTTTTGCCTACTGCTTGTGTTCAGCATCATTACATGTTGTATAGAATATGCATATTGTAACTACGTTCCATTCACACAATTGACCTACCTCCTGTCATCTCAGTATTTCTTCCTACGTTATCACAGTCAGACCATCTTCCCTGGTCACTCTCCTTCAAGATTTTCTGTTTCTGAAGTGTAAGACTTGTTAAAAAAGAATGTTAGTCTTCAAGAGATAAAATACATTATATCAAAAGAAAAAAAGATCATTACTTGCATCTCTTTGTATCAATATTTCTAGTTCTCTTTCTTTCACTTTGATTGACAAATGTGAAAAGCATTGTGTAGAAGGGTCCATGAAAGGCCTTTTCCTCTTTTGGTGTTTGTGCTCCCTAATTCTGTCTTGGACCATCTTGTTTAGGACCTCACTGTCTAACTGCTGTAATTTTTATGTTACATGTAAAGACTGGAGTGGACAACTGTCCTTCCAGTTGGGAAATATTTTGTCCCTTTCAGTATTTTTGCCCAGATTATTTACCACTTCTTGTGCTTCAGAAATATTTTCTCATTCTTTAATGTCAGTCACTAACAAAAATAATTTCTATTTCTCATCAATTTGCAATGTAATTTTGGTATCTATTTGAGTTATTTTTATATATTTATGTGTATTTATATATATGCCCTTGTATATTTAGCAAGGATTGTTTTGCCCATTCGTCCGTGGGCATGCATCACTAAAACAACTGTCTCCTATAACATAACACTAATACCACATCTGTGTTCTTTGATTTATACTAAAACATCTCAAAATCCAGTTACAAATTATTGTAATAATTTGGCCTACGTTTGGCAGAATTAGAAATGACTGAAGATCAGAGGATTCAATCTGTCAAGAATAATTTTTAATAAATCAGATTTAATGACCTCATTTTTGAAACCTAGGCACTTAATTGTGTATATGAATCAATTCATAGAATCACAGAATGGTTTGGGGTGGAAGGACCTTTAAGACCAACTAGTTCCAATCCCCTGCTATAGGCAGGGACACCTCGCTCTAGACCAGGTTGCTCAAAGCTCCATCCAGCCTGGCCTTGAATGTCTTAAAGGAGGGGGCATCCACAGCCTCACTGGGCAACCTGTTCCAGTGTCTCATCACCCTCACAGTAAAGAATCTCTTCCTGATATCTAATCTAAATCTACCCTCTTACAGTTAAAAATGATTTCCCATCATCCTGTTACTACATGCCCTTATAAAAAGTCCCTCCCTGGCTTTACTATAGGCCCCTTCCAGGTACTGAAAGGCTGCTATAAGGTCCCTCGGAGCCTTCTCTTCTCCAGTCTGAAGAGCCCCAGCTCTCTCAGCCTTTCCTCAAAGGGGAGGTGCTTCACGCCTCTCATCATCTTTGTGGCCCTCCTCTGGACCTGTTCCAACAACTGCATATCCTTTTTGTGTTGAGGGCCCCAGAACTGTATGTAATACTCCAGGTGGGGTCTCATGAGAGCAGAGTAGAGGGGCAGAATCACCTCCCTTGACCTGCTGGTCATACTTCTCTTGATGTGATCCAGGATACAGTTAGCCTTCTGGCCTGCAAGCACACATTGCTGGTTCATGTTGAATTTTTCATCAACTGACACCCTCAAATCCTTTTCCTCAGGGCTGCTCTCAAGTCGTTCTCTGCCCAACCTTCATCTGTGCTTGGAATTATCCCAACCCAGGTTGCAGGACCTTGCACTTGGCCTAGCTTGGTATGGGCCCACCTCTCAATGCTGACCAGGTCCCTCTGGACAACATCCCTTTCTGCCAGCATGTCAGCTGCACCA